AAACTAGGACTAGATATTGCCATAGCTCATATGGTGTGCAGTCTGGGCGGTCGCGTTCAGCTCATCGGTCACACTAGCTGGATTCAACCATATGCTGGGGTCCCTCCTATGCTACCAAATAAATACGTTGATGGTTTCGTGATCGAAAGCATTGACCTGTCAGGTACCAATATTGTATATGAAGGACTAGAGTTTTTACGTAAGTAAATGCTTTTGATTTGATTACCTTTACGTTTATTTGAAGTAACCGGCATGTTTCATAAATTTCAACAGAACAATGGGAAGATAGAGTTTACCTGAAAAGTATGATGTATTTGCGCCACACATTCGGGACAATCTGGGCATGCATTTAATAGTCAAGGCATTATGCGAAAATTAGTGAAGGTCAATTAAATGAAGGTCCAAGTAAACAAAGTGATAATTGTAAGATGAGGTGGAAATCAGCGTCGTATGGACAGAATAAGGAATTCGCGCACTGCCTTAAGCCGTAAAATGACTTAAGGATTCCCAGGGCAAATTCAAGGCTACGACAAACTATTTCTGTACACGTAAGAGGGGGTTGAATTTACAAATAGCCAAGGCCTAAGGCTTCTATAAGCCTGAAGATTCATCCTTGACAATATCTATACAGCTTTCTAAAAGCTGTATTAATGTCAGTTCTGTGCCTCGTTCCAATTATGTGCCTTGCTAACGATGGACATGATTTTCTACTTTTCACGTTTATCGGAGCATTTGACATTAACTGATTTTGAAGCCATCTATGCACATGTTTCATAACCCTTAATTGCATTGTTCGACTACTCTTCTCCATGTATCTATCTCAAATCTTTAATCTCATTATTATTTTATACCTGTTATTCCCTTATTCCATTCATTCTCAGTCCATATTCTCTATGTTTAGTTTTATTATGATCGGTATTACTGTTATCCTGACTCTTGCTATTTATCGTTTGCTGAGTTAGTGTCCAATAAGGTTGATGCACTTCTGTGCCAGGTGTCACGTTAGTTATGACTGCGTTCCCGTTAGTATTATGCCATACAAGGAAAAAGGGAGACTCTTTCGAACACAAAAGGGGATATTTTCTCCGAGATAACCTGATATGACCTCAAGTCTGTTATAAGGACTCAAGCAAAGTTTGTCAATAATCTTCAGGATAAACTTAAGAAAGAATCATCTTCTAAACTAACGGATGTTTGAAAGCTGATCGTGACAGGCTTTATATATGGTAAAAGTTTGGAACAACCTAAACAGTTACAAAATTAGTCCACATAGTGACCGTTAGATGTGTTGAACGTTGTTGCTGCCTTGACATGGTGGTCGGGCTTGCCTATCGTGATGAAACAGTCGAGCTATACTGGCTGGAACAATCGTTCCTCAAGGTCCTACCATGCCAGACAGGTCGGTTGAAGAACGGTAAGACTAAAAGCAACAAACCCAAGGTCAGAAAGCGATGTTGTACTGCTGACTGTACAGAGATGTGACGGCAGTAAGGTGTTTCCTTCAAACAACCAGCATGACAGCGATGCTGCCTTCCCAAAAGGGGGGATGGGGTTAGAAAACGTTGACCCTAAAAATACACACCTCGCCTTGTCCCAAGGATATCCGTCTCCGGCGGTAAGGTCTCAACAAGTACGTAGCCAACACGAAAATTACTCACAAAAAGGTCGTGTGTGGCTGATCTCAAGCAGTTGTTCCCTGGGCACTGCGGTCACGATCTCAGGTCACCAAGACCATTTCTAATCCGATTCTCTTTTCAGGTACCTCCAGAACACCCCTTCCACGGTGTGGGCAACCGGGAAGTGATAACCGCCCTCACATCTCTAACAGCACTCAAGACCATTATATTCATAATCAACCTCTGTCTTCACTTCCTATTATTCCTCCTACATCGACTTTCACCTCTAAATTTCCTTTTTCGGCTTCCCCCTTAAGTGTCACCATAGCCAACGATTCTAGTGCTGGAAACATTGTTCTAGGTCTACTGAAACCTCGCTCCAAACTACACATTGGAGCCTTCAACGTACGCACCCTATGTCAAATCGGTCAACGGGCTTTATTAGATAAAACCCTAGAATCTCGTACCACTGGTGGATGCTGTGTCTCAGAAACACGCATACAGGATCCTGGTGTGGTCATCCACTTGACCTCACCTCGTCGAAACGGGGAGCTGACGAGATACACCCTCCGTGTATCTGGTGACCCGATGGCCAGCTCTCGTGGACTGGCAGGAGTAGGGATAGCACTAAGCATGAGGGCGGGAAAAGCACTGTTAGAGTGGGTCCCCGTTAACAGTCGTCTATGTGCTCTCCGTAAGAACTCGGAAGGATAGGGACACACTTCGTTGCCTTTTTGCCGTTTCTGCCTACGCTCCCACCGACTGCAGCTCAGATGAAATGAAAGATGAATTTTACAGAAAGCTCAGACACAGTACTTGTAGTAGGTGACTTTAATGCCCAATTAGGTAGCTTAAACCAAACAGAAAGACATTTAGGTGGGTAATTTGTTATTCCGACTCAGCGAACAGATAATGTTGATCGTCTGCTGCAACTGTGCTCGGACAATCGTTTATTTTTAGCAAACACTAATTTTAAGCATAAGGAGAGACATCGTATAACACGGCGACCCCCTGCATCAAACCAACGATGGACTCAAATAGATCATATTACCACACAAACGATGAACTCTATGTCTATGGCAACCACTTTTCTCGCTCCGAAAAACAATCAGTCGATCCAAATAATTATCATTACAATTATTGTCATTATTAATACTATTATTATTATTATTACTATTATTGTCGTTATTATTATTATTATTATTATTATTATTATTATTATTATTTCCCACATTATTCACCCTCTTTTATACTTATACAGCGGCTCGTCTTTGGTGGAAATCCGACTGTATCTAAACGTTCTCGAGTCACTGTCCGGTTGAAAGTTGTATGTTACCATCGAATATGAGTACTGAAGCAGTTTTTCTGGAACCACGTGCGCCATTCAAACTGGCTGCCTTCAACGTTCGCACACTTATGCAGGTTGGTCAACAGATAGGGCTGGCTATGTCTTTGGAAAGTCTTAATATTGATGTTTGTTGTCTATCCGAGACCCGTATTCAAGACTCTGGCGAAGTACCACAAATTCGATCTCCATCTGTCGCTTCAAAAAGCTTGTTTTACATGCGCTTATCCGGGGACCCTGTGGCATCTTCGTCTGGTCTTGCAGGCGTTGGTGTCGCACTAAGCGCTAGAGCTGAGGCAGCACTAGTCGATTGGATCCCCATTAACAGTCGGTTATGTGCTGTTAGATTAGAAAGTTCCATCAAAGTGAGAAGAAATCGGCGTGAGAAACGATGCCTTTTCGTCATCTCCGCCTATGCCCCGACAGATTGCAGCCCGGATGCAATCAAGGATGAGTTTTACCACCAGTTATCTGTTCTTCTCCAGAAAGTGCGTTCGACAGATATTGTATTGGTAGCCGGAGACTTGAATGCTCAGGTCGGGCGTCTAGGCACAGAAGAGAGTCGTTTAGGTGTTCGATGGGGACTCGTTGGTCGCAGGTCAGATAACGGGGACCGTCTACTGCAACTGTGCACAGACCACCACCTGTTTCTGGCTAGCACTAACTTTCGGCACAGTCATCGCCGATGTGCCACCTGGCGTCCTCCCTCTGCATCCCAAGCCTGGACTCAGATTGATCACATCGCGATCAGCTACCGCTGGCGTGGTTGTGTAAAAGACTGCCGCTCCTTTTGGAGTACCTATCTGGACTCTGACCATGCCTTGGTCTGCGCCAATCTTGCCTTACTTTTCAGTGGACAACGAAGTGACCGCCAGCAAAGTATTGATATTAGCAAGCTGGTTGCAACTACTGTTGCAGGTGCATCCACTCTCTGTGTTCTCCCAAATTCTAATCTTCTGAATCCTTCATGTCCCTTTTTTCCTCTTTCCAAATTTATTTCACTGGATTATACTCTTTAAATAACATCTCCAAACCCTAATCTTCCCGATTACTGCTTATACTCTTGCTACCTCTACCACTACGGGATTTGAATAGACAACTGCATCTCTGTGCTAATGTGGTGTGGCAACTCGAACTGATGTACATATGTACGAAGTTCTACGTTGTTACTGACTGACTGACTGAAGTATCGAACCGAGCTAGCCTCTAGGCTAGCTACCACTCCACCGAAAAGTATAGATGAGCATTGGTTGCAATTGCATGACGCCATGAAAATGGCGGGAACAGTCAGTTGTGGGTTTGCGAAACGTCCCGCTTTTAAGCACTGGGTTTCTTCTGGTTCCTTACAACTCATTGAAGCCCGTCGGTCTACTCCGGGTGACCGTGAGTTTGACCATAAACGAAGGATGTTACGTAAGGAAATTGGGCAAAGCTTGCGTAAGGACCGAGAAGCCTGGTGGTCGAAGCGTGCTAATGAGCTGGAAGCAGCAGCTGCATCTGGTAACTACCGGAAGCTCTTCCAGCTCATCCGAGCCACTGGCAGCAAGAAGTCTGGTGTGAGTGAAACAATCTGCGAGGATGATGGGATGCCAATCACTAACATCCATCGACGTCTTGGACGATGGGCAGAATTTTTCGAAGGGCAGTTCAACTGGCCTGCTGCTCCGGCAACATCGGTCAGACTGTCCTGCCCTCCATGGCCGGTGACGACTGATCCACCAAATGAGGAGGAAGTCCGCAAGGAACTCCAACTCTTGAAGCGTTACAAATCACCTGGCCCAGATGACTTACCTCCGGCTCTTTTTAAAGATGGTGGTGACTTTTTGACTAAGGAATTGACGACGTTGTTTACAAAGGTTTGGGAACTAGAGAGTGTACCAACGTCATGGAATGAGTCGATAGTTGTCCCTATCTTTAAAAAGGGTTCACGTCGTTCCTGTAACAACTATCGGGGGATAAGTCTACTTCCGATTGCGTCCAAGCTATTGGCTTCCGTCATACTTCGTAGGTTGTTCAAAACCCGAGAAAGATTGACTCGCGAGGAGCAGGCTGGGTTTCGTTCTGGTCGAGGATGTATTGATCATATCTTCACCCTCCGCCAAATGTTAGAACACCGCCATACTTATCAAAGGCCAACAATCGTAGTGTTTCTTGACATCAGGGCTGCCTTCGATTCGTTGGACAGGACTGTTCTCTGGGATTGTCTATTGAAGAAGGGTGTGCCTGAGAAGTTTATTAACATCCTAAAAGCCCTATATAAAAACACCTCAGGCAGAGTGAGGGCATACAACCACCTCTCTCCATTGTTCCATTCGAGCAGTGGGGTTAGGCAGGGTTGCCCAATCTCACCATTCCTCTTCAACTTTGCCATCGATGACATTCTGGAAACAGCTCTGATGAATGTAAGTAATGGTGGTGTGGATCTGTTGCCTGGAGAAAGACTTCTCGACCTTGAGTATGCGGACGATATTGTCTTACTGTGCGATAATGCCCAAGGCATGCAATCCGCACTTAATCAGTTGGCAATCAGTGTCCGTAGGTATGGTATGTGCTTTGCACCTTCGAAGTGCAAAGTACTTCTACAAGACTGGCAGGATTCCAATCCTGTACTCACCCTGGATGGTGAGCAGATAGACGTAGTCGAGAAGTTCGTGTATCTGGGTAGCTGCATAAGTGCTGGTGGGGGTGTGAGTGATGAGATCAATGCACGAATAGTGAAAGCCAGAGCGGCTTATGCCAATCTGGGCCATCTTTGGCGCCTTCGTGATGTTAGTCTGGCTGTAAAAGGTCGGATCTACAACGCGTCGGTGAGAGCAGTTTTGCTCTATGCTTGTGAAACCTGGCCTCTCCGAGTTGAGGACGTTAGACGACTCTCTGTGTTCGATCATCGCTGTCTCCGAAGGATTGCTGACATTCAGTGGCAACACCATGTCAGTAATGCAGAGGTTCGGCATCGTGTGTTCGGGCACAGAGATGATAATTCAATTGGTGTCACCATCTTGAAACACCGACTTCGGTGGCTTGGACATGTTCTCCGAATGTCGTCCCAGAGAATTCCACGTCGTGCATTATTTGCCGACTCTGGGACTGGTTGGAAGAAGCGGAGAGGTGGTCAGTGCATGACATGGTGTCGTGGTATGAAAGAAAGCTGCAAAGGACTGGCTTGTGTTGGTCCTTCACGACTCCCTGGTTGGGGTCTGAGAGATGGTGCTACACAGTGGCTAGAGACGTTATCAGATATGGCTCAGAATAGAAGCCAGTGGCGATCCTGCTGTAACCTTCTTTTACTTTCTTCATAAAAAGTGGTTGTGTCTCCCTTACCTGAAAGATTTCTTCCGATTGTACCTTTGCGTTCCCTGATTACTAGCACATTACCTTACACCAATCTCTTCGTTATTGTTCTCTCTTTTTTTGTTGCGCTACTTAGCTTTTTTTCTCTCTTTTTCTTTCTTTGTATTCCTCTCGAATTTTCATTGTTTTGTGTGGCGCATATATATTGGCGCTCTCTTGTACCAATATTCATGTGTCCAAATAAAAAAAAAATAAAAATAGTCATCGTTGGAGAGGGTCGATAAAATATTGTCGCTCATTCTGGAATATCTGTTTGGACTCCGGTCATGCTCTTATACGGACACGCATCTGCTTGCGCCTCACTGGACGCAGGAAAGCCACACTGAGAAGACCCATTAGAATTGAATTAAGTGATGAGAAAGCCGAAAATAGATTCCAGGAACAACTGAGGTCACACTTAGGTAGTTGTGAAGACGAGGCTGACCCAGATGTTGCTTGGAAGGGCACACAATCAGCTGTGGAAACAGCAGTGACATCTATTAGTGACTTAAACCACAGAGTTACAAGGAACCAGTGGATTTCTTCAAGGTCTGTCACACTGATGGATTCTCGCAAACTTTGTGTAATTTCAGAAACGATCTACGCCCAAACATTGTCCATATTACCACAGGGGTAGATGGAAAAATAACTAAGTTTGGCTTGGTCAAGACAAGCAGTTAATTTAAACTAATTTCGGTGTTCTGCAAACTTCTTTTCTCAGGTCTTCGAAATAGCTATAATCCATGGTTGAAAACTCTGGGTTGTAGGTTTTTAAGCTGTTCGTTCAAATTTTGACAAGTGCTCACATAGATTCTAGTTTGTATGCTTAAAAATCAGTTTTAGCGGCCCAGATTGTATTGTATTGATTTTAATTTGGTGCATTAATATATACAAAATATAACTTATTTACTTTATAGCCTGTTTAACTCATCTAAGGTACTTAAAAATGAAAAGATGTATACATCTTGATGATTTTTGCTTGTCGAGAATTGGACGTATCAAAGGATTACAATTTCTCGATGTCAGTGAGTGCCCTACTATTACTTCAAAAGGCCTAGCGACATTGGCACACTTAAAGTAAGTGGTCCAGTGAAATTTTGACAATTTGCTTAAAAAGAACTAGAAGTTATTGTTTACATTAATAACGTTGATTAAGTTTTCCCGTCAATAAACTGTTTGTCTATCTTTTTTTCCAGAGCTTTACGCCGCCTAATAGTGAGTGGAAACCCACAGATTGAAGACAAGGAATTAGTTTGCCTCCTACTAGAAGATCACTTACCAAAATTATACATTGACGGTGTTGACTACATCGGTCAACTACCTGATAAATCAAAAGAAAAGATCTTAAGGTTAGTATCTAGAAATGAAAAGTTTACTCAAGCACAAAACGAGGAGACCAATGTAGACAAAGTTTATTTGATTGACAAAGCATAGAAATGTTGTCAAGTAACATATACCCATATTATATAATGTACATAAAAGTTATCACAATTTAATTTTGTTAATCACTCTTGACTAACTGCTGGAATAGTATTCATAATGGAGACATTTGGTTCCGTTCGAATTGTGTCTATTTGTTCCATAAAATCGTCCAACTCACATGTATAATCTCGATCTAAACTCCAAAACTTCCTTACCTTAAAAACGAAAAGTAAGCAACACAAGTCCAAATAAGATTTTAAAAAATGTAGCTGTTACATAAACAATTACACTAGGGGTGCACAAATTCTAAGCAAGTAGTGCTCTTTTGAACTAATCTAATTTAATAAAGTGGTTATTTCATAAAAACAAATCCATTTATTAGATACTGTAGACTAATAGTACATCACGTGGCGTTATTGCACTTTTCGAAAAAAACGTCAGTCAGTCAGTTAAAACGTGGGACCAGGCACATATATGCATCGGTCCAAGTTGCCACACCGCATTAGCACAACAAGATGAACACCGGATTCATAGAAGTGGTTAATTCAATGGTGGTAATATATAAAAAAGATTACATATAAGGATATAGTAAAGGAAGAAAGAATTAGTCCGTAGAAAGAAAGGTAATTTTAATATCACGGTTTAAGGAAGACAGAAAATGTATACACCTACGCCATTGTGATCGATTCTGAGCCATGTCACCAAGAGTCTCCAACCATTGGTTACGATAGTCACGCGGACCCCAACCAAGTAGCCTGCATCTACCAACAAGGCTCAGACCAGAAGTTGGTGACTTCAAGGACTGATGCCATGTTTTGGTTTGGCCGCCCCTAACTTTCTTCCAACCATCCCCAACACTAGTCAGCATTGCGCGTCGTGGTAATCGGTGTTCAGGCATACGTAACAAGTGGCCCAACCATATCAGTCGATGAAGATTGAAAAAAACAGCGAACAAATGATTGAATCGAAGATAAAAGATATACCAAATCGGGACCGCAAAATGCACAAGTTCGAAGCATACTAAGAGTTATTAGGAATTCCCACATAGAGTTAGAAAAATATGTTATAATTCACAATATGGAAATTTTTTATAGTTCAAAGTCATGTGGGGATCTGATTACGTTTAAGGTACTCATTGAGTTCCCAAAGTCTAATGCTCGTCTCACACAAGCGAGAAATTCGTTGGAAGGTGTTAGTGATTGAATATTAAAAAGTGTTAAACTGACTTCCGAAAAGTGCCGCCTAAGTATTGGCGGATATTAGTTGTTGCCTTCTACGAGCTTGGTTCCACTCAAACGAACTAGACTAACAGTAAATTATTAGGTTAGTTAGATGAATCAGTGTGGACACCTGGTGATTTCTCCACTCTAGCTTCTACTGTATTCACCTGGTTTAATTTTTTCGATAACCATGGCTTCAATAGAACGCAATAAATCCAAAGTTATTGGATTATTGAATCCTATGAAGGATCTTTGAACTATCAACGTTCTATCCACAATCAAGCAGATGACAGGTGCTATGTTTGAAGAGATAACGAGTTTACCAAATCTGAGAACGGAACGAAGACTCTGATACAATGACAAATAAGCTAGCTATTCCGACGCGTTCTAGCTCCGCTAACTAGAGAGAGGAGTCCAAGTTCGGAAAAGGGAAATATATTCCACAAGCAGCCAGAGCACGAGCAACAAAAACAAGCACAAATCAAGCGTGTATATACAAGGTGAAATAAAGTCAATTCTAAACGATCCATAGAGACTGTAGATTGAAAAAGTAAAAAGGATACATTTGACAAATTCAACCCAACCAAGAATCATACATTTATATTCAAAGAATCTTTCAAAAAAGACATTAGTTAGTAGCCTTATCTTTTTTAAACTGTTTCCCATTTCATTATATAATTTTAATTTAATCAACTGAGCTTAACTAACACTCACTAAAAACTTTTAACTCCTAATTATACCCTAACTAGTGTATACATTACTTCTTTCAAATACTACTCTTTTTGCTACTATCCTAAACGATAGAATCTGCCTTTGATAAAATGATATTTTATTGTAATGTCTTGATTCGATATTTGCCTTCCTATACATTATTTAGATTCTCTAATAATCTTCACTGATCAATGTCTTTTAAAAAAAAAATAAAAGTATGTAAAATTTTCCCTTTAGTTTTAAACAGAACTAAATAATATTACAAGTTTTAAGCAAAACTGAACTTAACAAATTCAAACGGATTAATTGTTGCATCCTATCAATTAGACCACTGATCAAATATGAAGGTCCTTAAGTTGATGGGGGAAATTTGTAGCTCAGAGGATGACGTGGGTGAGTTTCCATTCTCTGAGAATTCGAAAGTTTAATCATGAAGCTTTCATTGTCTTACTGGATAACATTACCAACAAAAACTTCACGTAGAAGTGGATTATTCGAATTTCTCACATATGACTGACGGCTTATTCCGTTGACCCCAATCTTAATTGGTTATTGTTGACAATTAACCTGTCGTTATCTGCATATTCTTCCTAACGGCCACTACCATTCTCTTGAGTTTTAACTTTAGACTTATCCATAACTTTTTAACCGGTTGGCAAATTGAGTCAATTCCGATGTGCATGTTGATTACTGATTGACTTGAGTGCTAAACTTCTAGAAATCCTCTAGTCTTCTTCGTACTTCCTTTGTATAACATCTCAAAATATTCCCAGTCGAGTGTGTATTCACAATTCTCCACGTGCATTGATATAAGTGAGGATATGCGATGGGGTTTGACAGCTATCAAGTGGTGTTTATGCACACAAAGAAGAAGGTGACACCATACAATGTAGTGTCTTTCGTAGTTGGACCAGTTTATTTTATAGATGATGTTCGCCATTCCATCCCTTGGCTTGCATAAGACTGATATTTCTTTCGAAAATGAGTATCAAATGATACTATACATATAATTAACAGTAAAAGGGGTTAGAAGCCTGAATTATTTGTGGATCAGTGATCCAGCATAGGGAGATCAGATGGATAGGTGGAAAATAATGAGATGGGATAACTTGATTACATCGTCGACGACATTAGTAAAGAGGTGATTATGAAATAGCGAAAGAAAAAAGATGGAAATAAGGGGTAAAAAGTATCCATCAGTACAGCGTTTAGGATTTTTACAGATACACGATAATGATGAGTAGGAATGGATTGGCGTCTAAGCCACAGACAGATTGTGAACTATGTTATCCAAAGTTCGATTTGATTGTGTTGTTTACCCCTAACATAGGAGAATTTTGCTTTTCAATATTTATTCAGAGATTAACAGTTCATACACTTATACCAATCTTTATATTAGTTAGCATTAGGAAGGTTAGTTATAATTATTTGTCTGTGGATTAATCGTCCCTTTTTCAATGTTCTATAAAAGTACTATGTCTAGAATTTTTTCGTTCATTTGGTAGGTGAGTGTTGCATATAAGGAGATGATATTCCGTGGGAATTTCATTTCAGTCATTTAAAGCTATACTGTCACCGATGAATATATATATATATTTATTTATTTATTTGAACACATAAATATTGGTACAAGGGGGCACCAGATATATATGCGCCACAATATAACAATGAGAATGGGAAGAGAAAAAGAATGTAAGGTGCGTATAAGAGAGAAGGAAGGGAAAAAAGAGAACAATGACGACCACAGATTAGTGTATGGTAGTGTAATAATAATAATAGTAATGGGGGAAACGGAAAGGTACAACCAGGAAAAATTCTTTCAGTTAAGGAAGTTACAACCACTTTTTATGAAAAAACTAAAAGAACGTTACAGCAGGATCGCCACTGGCTTCTATTCTGAGCCATATCTGATAACGTCTCTAGCCACTGTGTTGCACCATCTCTTGGACCCCAGCCAGGGAGTCGTCAAGGTCCAACAGAAGCCAGCCCTTCGCAGCTTTCTTTCATACCCCGACACCATGTCATACACTGACCACCTCTCCGCTTCATCCAACCGGTCCCAGCGTCGGCAAATAATGCACGACGTGGAATTCTCTGAGACGACATTCGTAGAACATGTCCAAGACACAGAAGTCGATTTTTCAAGATGGTGGCACCAATTGAATTATCATCTCTGTGCTCGAACATACGATGCCGAACCTCTGCATTACTAACATGATGTTGCCACTGAATGTTAGCAACCCTCCGGAGACAACGATGATCAAACACAGAGATTCGTCTAACATCCTCACTTCGGAGAGGCCAGGTTTCACAAGCATAGAGCAAAACTGCTCTCACCAACGCTTTGTAGATCCGACCTTTTACAGCCAGACTGACATCACGAGGGCGCCAAAAATGGCCTAGATTGATGTAAGTCTCTCTGGCTTTCAATATACGTGAATTGATCTCATCACTTACACAGCTACCCGGATACACGAACTTCCCGACTACTTTCATCTACTCACCACCCAGGGTGAGTGCAGGATCAGGGTCCCGCCAGTCTTATGGAGTTAATTTGCACTTAGAAGATGCAAAACACACGCCATACCTACGGACATTGGTCGTCAACTGATTAAGTGTGGATTGCATGGCTTGGGCATTATCGCACAGTAAGACAATACCATCCGCATACTCAAGGTCGAGAAGTCTTTCTCCAGGTAACAGGTCCACACCACCATCACTTACATCCATCAGAGCTGTTCCCAGAACGTCATCGATAGCAAAGTTGAAGAAGAATGGCGAGACCTAACCCCACTGCTTGAGTGAAGCAATGGAGAAAGGTGGTTGTATGCCCTCACTCTACCTGAGGTGTTTGTGTATAGGGCCCCAATAGCACATCTCAACCTCCCGGATTAAAAAAATAAAATGGAAGCTAAAGGTTAGAATGAAATTCTCAGTGGAAATTATGCCCTTATACGCAGTAATAACTCATCAAATAAACAGAAAAATACCCGACAATGCTTATTACCGCACCCATATTGAACACTGAGAAATGGATAGGCCACAAACTCACGGACACGTATCTTATCTCTAACCAACACAAAATAATGAATAAGAAATAAGTTGAAAATATGGTAAGAAGAAAATCTCGTAGTAGTGTTACATTACTAACTTCATCAATATATGCTTTAGCATCCAAGTACAATTGATGACGAATTTTATCATCTGAGTGAAATCCACTACTACCATTGACAGATTGAGGTTGGTTGAAAATTTGGGAACTACTACGTCTAACTTCACGTAATCGCCGTATACTATCTTCCATTTTTCGCACTGATGTAGACACTTCTGATAGTTGAGCTGTATAGCTTTTATTTGATAATGTAAGAAAAATGATACATGAAAAGTTAGACCTATTAAATAAAATTAATTAGTTATTACTAACTGTATAGAAATATGCAGAAAAAGTGTATACAATTGATTGATAATGAATTGCAGTGGTCAATATTATTTTCGTCTGGTCCTTTAGTGCCAGTTAGATTCTATCGATCAAGTTTCAACATGCCCGCCAGTCTAAGTGACTCCACATCAAATAACATCTTAAACAGATGTATATATGTACCAGATTCTATGTTGCGTATAACTGACCAACTGGCTGCATGTACTATATATTATTAAGACATTATTTAGTTGGAGGTTGTCGAGAGGAAACCCTGAACAGGCAAGCACACCGCAACTTGGTCGATAGAATTCGATCACCATATAGGACTAGACAAATATTATATCGCCTACTACTTAGTGGTCGATCATGTCAGTCGCAGCCCGAATAGCTCAGTGATAACGTCTCAAACTGTGAAATTGGATGGCGGAGCATGAGGTTCCTTAGGATTGCACGTACACCATGTTGACGAGTGCCAACAAGCACGAAACCTAGGTCCAAGGTATTCTGTCGACCACCTCTAACTATTTAACACTAAGAAAATGTATACAGAATAAATACGCTTTGAGAATACAAGATTTCAACTAAATGATATATAATATTATTGCGAATGGAAAAAAGTGTGATAATCAAGAAAAATTCCATCCTGTCAGTTAGCAGAAAAAAATGTAGTTCTCAAAAATGATGGTGGTATTGAAAACTAAAACACAAGGTTGATGTTTCATGAATAGACCCCATCATAGATATCATATCACTAATAGACACCTTGTGGGGGCTTGTACTATGTCAAGCCTGTAGTGAACGAGAACACCAGTGGGAACAATCGAATGTATGTCACGAAATTACAGGACTTGTTAATAAAATCTAACAATCATAAGGTAAATGCTTAATTTGCAAAATGCTCACCAATTGTTTCAAAATGACTCAAACCTCATTGTTCTTGCATTTTCATACAAATTGCATTCTGTTTCCATTCTTTACTATTCGATCCTCATATCTCTCTGCTGCCAGACCTGTTCACGACATACATCGTATACTACTTATGTCAATATAAGTAGCACACACCACAAGCCCACATAGGTTACTCTAGCCATTGGACAGGCTAATTTATTCATTCTTCTTGTTAATTATTGGCTTACCAACCTTGACTGTTTTTATGTGAGAGTATGTATGTGCATTTCTTATCTTACTCATCACATATCTGTAACTTATTTTTTGTCTGACTACAAATATCGGTTTACGTTTGGTTAAATCGAGTTGGCTCACACGCTTCCTCCACCGCGCATTGTTTCGTTTTATTGGTCGCCTATCTGAGTCAATGATTGTATGAAACATGGGTATTCGAAACCCATTCTCGTATCTGACTTATTTAATTTCATTCACTAACATGAATTAAGTCGATGCATATATACGAGGGTAGCCAGGATGTATATTTCGACAGCAATCATTCGATAATGATAATCATACGATCCAATTGGAGTCAGATTCAGGGCCACCAAAACCTTAATACATAAACCCTCAGTTGATATACTGCTCTAAAATGATAATCATATGTTTTCGAATTCACCTCTAAAGATTAATACAAATATAAAGTCATTGCAGTATAATAATTACCAGAAGGTAATTCTATGTATATAAAATGTATGACGTCGTAGTTTAGTTGAATTAGTACGTTGAAGAGTTTTACATTATAATAGTCAATTTTGTAATTTTTTCTATTTTCCAATGATTTCTTCACAAAATGACCTCAGTTGTTTAATGAATAACAAACTTCAAAATGATTTCTTCAGTTGTCAACAATAAAACACAACCGAATACTTTCAATTTTAATGCATCAGAACAAAAAAAAGAACTTACTCATGAGTAACAGTTGTGATGCATTTCTTTATTAAAGTAGATAAAAATGGTTGAGCGTTAGGGACTGATTGAGATAAACGTAATCCTAAACCATCGAGTTTCATTAAAGGATGTATAATGTTTGATACATATGAAGATGCATTAGAAGGAAACTCTCGATTAGTCCAACGATATTGACGCGGTATGTCTAGTACTTGGCGAATACTATTTGAACAGTTTTGCTGAAAATGAACACGATAATTAGAAAATAAACAAACAAAATGTTATATCGATTGTTATGAAGTATATACATGCTTAGTGAGTGTAGATAGAGTATGTATGTATGCATGTGGAAATAAGTAATTATATTAGATTAGGAACATGTAATAAAAAGTCATTGTTTTATTGATATTTGTTACAGTGTAAGAAGAAAGAGAGAGGGAACACTATTCGGTTATTTATGCCCCTTAATTTTACTCAGTCTTATGTACACAGCATTGACAAGAGACGTTTAGAATACAAAGTAATGTGTGACTTCCGAAACTGTCAATCAACTGAATATTTATCCTGAGTTCTAATTATGAAGAGGTGAAGGAATTTTGAACAAGATAACTATTTTGATGTTAATTAGTTAAGGTGACGGTTCAAACAATATAAAACAATAGACCTTTGGATTAAAACGTTTATTTGTCTCAAATTATATCATTAATACTATTACTCCAACTAGTTCATCTTGAGGAAATGCTGAATCTTTTGAAGGGAATACCATCAAAGTCTATGAACCTTCTGAAGGCCCTTTACTCGAACATTATTGGCCGCATAAAAGCTTAAGATGAGCTTTTGTTAGAACTAGTGATATCCTCAAAGAATTTCAATATCCTCGATAGAAAATTGTGCCAGATTCCATGTTGCTTATGACTAACTGGAATAAAACAGTATTCCGGTAGGAAGGTATTTTGATATTGAAGTTGAATGAGACTGGAAATGTTTTATAGGATATATATAAATACAGACCAAGTCACTGAAACACGCGAGGTCTTGTTTTTATACACATTCACATACACTTGTCCTTGATAGAAATTCAATTCTGTAGATACCATTAGAGTTGTACAAATAAACCTGTTACAATTGCGTCCGGATTTTTTCAGTTATGTCAAACTATTATGATTCCTCTTATTACGACCCAGCCACTCAATGCTTAGTAGTCTTGGACACAAATCACTCGATATGTGTGAGGGCTGGGATGCTGCTCTGGCACTCAAACCGAAGTAGGTGGTTTTCTTAGGGGAAAACACCCGGAGCCTTCAACATAAAGGTCTAATCCACAGGGCAGTGGAGCAACGTCAGGAGATGCAGCCCCATGGTAGCCGGTGACCAACAATAGGTTCATATGCCATTTGTTCCCTCACGATCCTGGAGCCCGTGTGCATCATTGGTTTGGAATCAAGGTTTCCCAACTCCCATAGGTGCATCCTCCGTATCTACCCCCAACTCAGGTATAGTACCGAACATTCGCTTTTCGTCCTCTCAATTTCGTACACAACACTCCCACCGCGAGAGGGCATTGAGTAGGACTTCTCTAACATTGGCTGTATACGCGAGGTCATGTGAGACCATTTCGAGAGGAACAGTGGACTCTCCATACCTTCGGCCGTACCAGGGCATTTGGCAGCAAGAACGCGGCTGAACAGGAATGTTATTGTATTCCAAATAATAAGGTTAGATGGGAGTAGGAAACACAATAAGAAAAACGTAAGTATATTCATATTTTTTTTACACAAGAAGACTCTAGGGTCTTTTCCAAGTATCCGCTAGCGCTGATTGGTTGAGAAATAACATGCTTTAATCTAATCTATATATCACTAACGAAAAAACCATATAACTTAATACACTTATATAAATACGTAACGCATTCAGTGCACCCAACTATTTCTCTTCTTATCATTACAGTATGGATCAGTGTAGATTGGCTTGGCTTTATATCTGACAGGTGTGAAATCCATCCTAAGTACTCTTAGATTCTTATCCAAAGTGTCCAGAAGACTATTGTTGTCTAACGTATAATATCTTGACACCTTACGTCATTCATAAGATTCCTTACAAATTGACCGATCTCAGGGATTTATTAGGTAACGAGTTATATGTCAGTCGGTACATACATAGTAACATAAAAATCTAACAGTAAACTAATTGTTATTATTACATTTCTCTATGAAATGCACAAAATCTACTATTATCGATTATTATATTTTATTCAGTTGTATTTCAGTTGGCTGATTTACTGATTCGCGTGTAAATATGTAGGATTTCATATGTTTTTTATAATATATACATATATCAGTACAATAAATATATGTATAGTACTAAAATTCAGTTCATGTTTATAAAAATAACAGGACTTGATCTTGATACATAGTATCTTGCATCTTACTTGAATTTTTTGAACGATAAGATCCATTATTGAACTGATCGATGCAATTAAACGTTCACATGACTGCTCCAAACACTCACTTAATATAGTTTCATAGTTCACAGTGTCATCATTACTATCGTTGTCCATTGTTTGTGTAACCAGGCGTTGGTTGAGACGAGTTAAAATTTCCCCCTTCAATTCTAAGCGAACATAATCAACCAATCGAAGACAATCGACAAAAAGTATATTAACAATTCAGGAAAGTAATCAGTTGATTTTGTCAATAAAATTGAATCAGACGATTGACTTGCAGTAGCGTTATTCTAAATTAACATATAATAATAAAGGAAATCAAAGAAAAATTTTCTTGAATAGTATTATATGTATGGTAAGTTACAGGTATATCACTAACAATTGGACGTTTAGATACCGACTAATTTCCTAGTCACTTCATGGCCCTTAGAAATTCATTACACAAGAGCCATAAACGGAAAACAAAAGGCGGAAAGTATACAAAAACTACTTTGAAGGTTAATCCGTGTATGAAAAAATGAAGATAATTATAAGAGGTGACCATGATATTTTAGCTTCTGAAAAACATATTAAATTTGCAAACAACATGGGCAATTATCCAATCACGATAAAGGAAACAATTCATCACTGTTTAGGATTCTCTTGAGAGTTCCTAATGAATGTCAACTGACTGAAGTATTTCCAGGATTTTATTGACTTCTGGGGACTTTACTAAGGAATTATCGAAGGCTTCCAACAGTTATGGAATAGGCTCATCAGTTTAAATAGCATTCTATTCTCAATGAAGTAAATTGACGCAGATCTATTTAGACCTGTAAGTCAAACTACGTTTCTATTTACGTGAGGATTGTTGTTAGACAGAACAGGATTCAAATCTGCTATCTTAATAAGATTAAAAGTTGAATCCTGTAAAAATATTAATCTACAACTCCATTCAGCCTTACAAATAACAACACTTCGATGATAATTAGCCAATGACATATCAACAGATAATTTAGTGAAAACTGAATATAAAGCTTAAATGTGAGGGATGTAAATTTTTGGTGCCCAAACCAAGAAGTGGGATTAGTTCACGCAATTACTGACTGCTGAATTAAACTATGTTGTTAAGTGCAGACGATCAGGTTAGGGTTCACGAGGTTATGGTAACCAATGGCTGGAGACTTTGAATGACATAGCTTAGAACCCATTTCAACGGCGTAGATGGATTCATCTTTCGTTTGAAAATACTTATACACTTATTGAGCGAAAGGTGGAATTCATGCAACAGACTACACTGCTGAGGACAGTTGACAGATGCATTCCAAGTGAGTACCGGTGTCAGACAAGGCTGTTTACTTTCGTCTCCCCAACTTTTCTTTTTCTTCTAATGGTTGACTGGATTATGAAGATCTCGACATCTGAGGGGAAGCACGAAATACAATGGACAGCTCGGAATCAACTAGACGATTTGGGCTTTACAGATCAACTAACTCTTCTATCTCATACATAGTGATAAATGAAGGTGAAGACAACTAGTGTAACAACAGACACTGCAGCAGTAGACCTCAACATACACAAGAGTAAAACCAAGATCCTCAAATACAACACGGAGAACACCAACCAACCCAATCGAAATTGGTGAAGAAACTCTGAAAGTGGACAATTTCACCTATATGAGGAGCATCGTCGATGAACTAGAAGGATCTGATGGCAAAGCAAGGCCAGCATTCCTACTATTGGAGAAAATATGGAACTGAAAACAACTGTTAACCAACACTAAAGTCAGGATCTGTAATACAAACGTCAAGACAGTTCGACAGCACAGACCTGAAACTTGAAGAACTACCACGACCATCATCAAAAAAGTATGAGTATTTCTAAACAATTGTCTACACAAGATACTGAATGTTCGTTGACCGGATATTATCAGCAACAACCAACTGTGGGAGAGAACAAACCAACTTCTAGATGAAGAAGAAATTAAGAAAAGATGTTGGAAGTGGACAGGATACACATTGAGGAAATCATCAAAATGCATCACGAGGCAAGCGCTAACTTGAACTCTTAAAGGAAAATGAAAAAGTGGAAGACCAAGGAGCACACTACGCCGAGAATTCGATGCAGACATGAAAAGGATGAATAGTAACTGGAAAGGATTGCCCAGGACAGAGTTGGATGAAGAATCTTGATGGGAAGCCCTATGGTCCTCCACGAAGAGTGACAGGAGTGAGTAAGTCTTGTTAACAAAAGCAAATTAAACATTCTAATTCATTTTTCTTTAATTCCTTATAATCAAAGTCTAGTGAACTGAACTCACAAACTCTCATTTTATTTCTAAACTTTCCAGACTTTTGTTACCTTAAGCAATAATATTATCTTAAATATTCTAGAATAATCACCTTAGACAATTATTTTAAAAAAAACTGTCAGAAACGTCTAATAAGTTTGAAACAATTAGTTGTTAATAACAATTCATCCACGTGAAATTGAACATTATGTTGATAGTTAGAAATAATGAAACTTATTAGCATGTAATATAGCTGTAGTTAAAGCAATGAGATACAATGAATTGATTGTATTCTGCAAACTATGTTATTCTTGCTTTTGTTCGAATTATGATATACACTTTGAAAATCTTGTAGATATCAGACAACAATTAGATGGTTATACAATTCAATAGTCTAAAAAGCCTTTTTTTCCCAGTGATATTGCACATGAATACGAAATAGTTAGTATATCTTCATTCACTAATAATCATTATTCTAATTACAAAGAAAAGTGTAACTTTTCTTCATTCATACAGTAGATTTCAGGATATAGGGAGATAATTTATAGGAATTTCATTCAATACATTGTGCCATATGTATGATATTTTCCTCAGAATATCAGATTGAAGTGAATATTTACCAAACACAATCAACCAAACTGTAACATTTTGATGCTAAAAAAAATGATGGGGACGTGTCCTGAACTAGGACGAAACACAACTGCTCTGTTCAAAGTTCCTTGTTTTCCAATAGCTGCCTGGTTAAAGTTAGTTCGTAATACAAACACTTGAAATGATATACCATGTAAGTACATACTTGTGACTTGACTTGTATTGGGAATATTTATTGCTTAAGCAGATATTTTGCTATTGTTGTCAATTATGACAGTACACTACTTCTAAAGGGAATAAACATATTCAGTTCAAGTGAGCGAACATAGCATTTAACAAAAGCACACAACATGTCTGGGGTGTCACTACTATTAATATACGTGAACTATAGGAAAAGTCAACATAAACACTAAAAAAATCCATACAAGAAATTTTAACCCTGAGAAGAAAGATTAATAATCCATTTTAACTGGTCACACTAATAGGAGCATTGTATTAAACACCGAAAGAGTTTTGGAACCGATTGTTCTGTATGGAAAACCATTTAATGACATGCATGAAACAGAACTTAACAGGTGAGGAATACTGGTGAAATTCTAGGTCAGAAAAGTTGTCCAGGTTCTTAAAAAAAAAAGAAATAAAAATCCCCTGCAGAAAGACGCTTACTTGTACTTAATAAGTTAAGTAAAACAATTCATTGGGAAGAAGAAAAAACAACAGTGTGTGCGTGTGTAAAAGGAAGAATTAAGAAAAGTAACCATGAAAACAGTTAACACAAGGTGTAAGTGATAGGTCGTTTCAAAATACGGAGGACGAAAAGAATCAATTTAAAAGTGATCAGATCAAGCTGTAATGTCCAGACTTATTTTGGTAAAAAAACAAACAAACATGAAGTGAATATTACAATGTTTCCTTGAAAAAGCTTGGACCAGATTGCCAGGCGAAACGTTGGATTTACTTAAAATTCATTCGCTGAGATTTTACAAATATATTCTTCTTTTTAATGTTACTAAATGTTATCATGATTTGTAGATGAATTCTGTTACGAGGGCAACAGTGAAAACTAGGAAGCACTGGATAGCATCTTTTTTCTAGGAATGCCCATTCACGACCAAATGAGGGATCGAACCCAGTAGCTTCAAGTCTGGCAGCGAGTGCCTAACCTTTAGACCATTGAGTCACTATCGAACGGTCCCAGGTTCTGTGCCGATGAGATTTTGGACGCGTACTGCTGACGAATCCATTAGTGGAACCAAACAGATATCTAGTGCTTTTTGGTTTTATATGGCAACCTACCTAACTAGAGTAAATTAGGGATGTAAGGTAAGACTCATACAAAAATTAATGGCTTAAATCGAAGTACATGAGTATGTATATTTAGTTCCTTCTGTAAACAACAAAACTGATTGACTAAGAACATTCAATAGGTAAGACAAGAGAAAGTAGCACAAATTACAAAGTAATATATAACGTTTCTATGGAAAGACAAACGAAAACTTCTGATTAGACATGAAGTAAACATTAAAGATGAATAAATATTAGATTCTACTATTTTTCTGTTAATTAATTTAGAAAGAGAGGGAGCTGTTTTGACAAAATGTACACTGAAATCTATACAACAGGTATTTGGTTACGAGCCACATTTAAAATACGAGAACCGATGGTACTACCCATGGTATTATGAACAATGAACTGAAACTAATATTTAAGGAAGTTAATTTAATGTAATTCAGATTAGTGTATCTAGGCTTTTAAACAATCATAGATTATATGTCAAGCTTAATGATAGCACTATGCACTTGCTCAAACGGAAGTAAATAGAAAGTATGAGTTGAACATGTTACTCAATGGTAATGGAGTCAAATATTTTTAACTATTAAAAACTAACATATTCTATATAAAAACGCCAAACTAAACATGAAATCTATAATTTAAATAAAAACACTACAACACTTGGTAATCAACATCAGGAAATTGACTTATGCATGACAATTGTAAACACTTTCATGTACTACATATATATACTTACCTCTTGGACAGATTTTATTTGTTCATCAATAAAACTTGAATAACGGCTTAATATTTGTAGAGTTAATTTCCAAAATCTATGGATCAACTTATCTAAATAAATTCCTTCTTCCCAACAACGATTCAACTGACAGATAACAACTTCGGTAACTTCAATTAAACATACTGTAAATTTACAGAACGAAAATATGTATATATACATACATTGAAGATTAACTCACCAACTATATTAAAGACAAATTGATGTTTTTAAAAAATAAATATTTACATGTGTATAAACTTATCTATGCTAGACAATTGGAGATAATTTGCAAGAAACTGTGGATATAGGTTTCGTGTTGAACTGTAAGTACTCCTCGATCATAGCTGTTACCTTGACTCGATGGTCAGGCTTCCATATTGTGATGCCTCAACCAAGTTATAATCGCAGGAACATATGTTTCTGTAGGTCCTACAATACCAGGCATGTCGACTGGAGAACAGCAAGACTAAAAGCAGCAACTTAAATTCTGAGAGCGAAGTCATACTGCAGACTGTGGAGGGGTATGATAGCAATAAGGCGTTTCACTAAAAAAAAACCAGTATCTAGTGATCATAACAGTTTCAAAAACTATAAACTTTGTGATTAAAGTCCGAGAATCTATCAGGATCAGTCGTCGGAGGCTTTAGATCACATAATAATCTTACAATGATTCCCACCTTCTGAACATTGCTATAGATTAGACTAATGCATACTGTAACAGGTCTTGCAATGATTTTGTCTGTCTGTTGAATTGTTGATTAAATAATGTAACTCGATTTTAGTTTTGCTGTCATTGTGCTTCACATATATTGCAGTGAATTAAACGCTTATTTATTGAATAAAAAGTATGTGATATTATGGAATGCACAGGTGTACGAGATTCCATAGTCAAAGTAATAACCAACAGTTCAGATTTGTATCACCTTGTATTATTCTCTACCTCAAATCCGTAACAACTGAGATGACAACAAACAAAAGATAGTATCTACTTTTTGGCTCCTTTCATGGTTGGACGTGGGGTAGATAACTCAGTGTAAAGTTGAGTTATTTACGAAACATTGTAACCTATAAGAGGCTAAATTTGAGATTTTGCAAGCAGCGTAATAATAATATCAACTTTGTAATACGGAAACTAAAGGAAAAAAGTAAAGAATACTTATTTTTCACTTTAAGGAAAAAAATAAACATACGCTTTTGACTTTCTTTGATCTCTATCAGACCTTTCTTCATAGCGTTTTCAACATTTGCAGCTATTTCTTGGAACCTGGAAAATAATAATAATGATGGTTAGATAACAATCAAAAACTTCCCCTGAAATACACAAGATGGAAGATCTATATATTGTTTACAGGGATAGTAGTATTTGGACAGGCCTCATAAAGTAAATGTGCTCCATATAAACATTCCATGAGAATATGTTCAGAATGAACTGAAATTGAAACACGCGAGTTTGCTTAACGTTTACTGACAAACGATAAGCAACTCTACGTCCAAATCTCGTACGTGGTGATAGTATTTTTCATACAGGCATGTGTTCTTACACGTGGTAAACTTACAGTTCCTTTGAGATTTGGGATTTCAGTTATTTACCGTTGTCCTTAGAGAGCGTGAACTACTGGTATAACATAGGCTAGATTACTGCTTAGTGGTATGTTTGTATAAATAACCACGAAAACACACCAGTTTATCAGTGATAACGTGCTGTACTTTTATTTAAAATAATAAATTGGTTGTACCCATCTGAGTATTCGGTCACAATAACAGTTAAAACTAATTCCTGTCGTTTACTTCTCATCCAGTGCTAAATTTCTTTTTCATGATGCTTATGTGAAGTATGCCTACTTGAGCTGATTACATATTCATGCCCAGGCACGTACGTCAACTATGAATGACAGTCGGTAGGTAGTCTAGTGGAAAAAAATGTCGGATGATGAAAACTGGACATATATATAATCGATTGAACAGATTGGACACCATAATTCCCAATAGTTTTCTGTCGTCAATTAAATAAATGTTGAGAAATATAAAATGCATTATATATTTGACATATTCTCCTAAGGCTCATAATCAGAATGCATCAATCCCAGTTTGATCAAGCTGGAGGCAAAAATCATAAAAAAGAGAGTCATAACAAACGTATTTAGCCTACAAGCTGTTTTAATTCAGTATGCTTACAAAGACTATAATTTTTAAGCTTATTTAACCCATAACATGATTTAACCACCTATATGACTTTCAGTATTTCACAATTACAAAGTGTATTATTCATTGATAATATCAGTTCATCCCATTATCATAGATGAGACATTGAGAGAAATTGACTCTAGAACTAACCTATACTTCATATCCATGAATAATCATGATAATAAACATGTTATGACTTCTTTCCCCATCAATTTTGTTTTTAATTATGTAAAAATTTTCTAAACAAAACAACTGAACAATCATAATTATCGTCCGAGTAATAATAGTCAACTTATTCAAAATAAAAACTAGACTATATATATCGTTTTAAATACCTGATTTGAAAGTAACTGGTAAACTCCATTTATTTCTAAACATTGAATAAGATGGATGATTGCGTAAATTGACAAGTTGTTTATTTGACCAGGTTTTTGTTTCAACCGTTTTAATAAAATCCATGCTAACAGTATATAACTGGAAAAGTGAATACAAAATGAAGAGGAAAATACACTATTGATCATAAGTTTAAATGAATATGTTTTTATCATTTCTGAGATTCCTTTTATAGTTTTACAATCACGAATCGACTTTAACTTGACAATCTTAGATAATTGGGGAGCACTAGACAGCTGTTTCATTGTGGTATATAACATCTGTTGGTTCATTGGAAACCTACAGTCTGTCCAGGAACCGAGTCTGGGACTTGTAGACCATCGTGAACGTATCTAAATTAAACCAATTAGTCACAGGCAACGTAGAAATCGACACATATGTGTATTGTTTCATGTTGTTAGCATAGCAAGATAAAATTATTAAGACAAATCTCATAATAATAGAAGTAAAAACAGTATCATTAGAAACCACTAGGTGTTAGGAGAAAAAGAATGTTAAGATTCTGAGAATCAGGTTCTGACATGAAAAAAAGGAAGAATAATCTGAGCCATTGAAGCGGATTCAGAACAATATAATTCAATGTCTCCTACAGCTTGTCTAGATAATCGTGTGGATCCTAATTAGTTAGTTGCCCCTACCTACATAGATCGGTTAGGTAGTCAGTGACTCCATAGACTGATGCTAGTTTTTGATTTACCCTATTTATAACTTTTTACCAAACGGCCCCACACTAGCAAACATAGCCCATCGAGGTAGGCGGTGGTTGGGTAGACGTAAAACATATCCTGACTACCTCAGCCGATAAAGATTCACTATCTCATTAACCAATTTTCCATCCTTATGTGGTACCCTATGCCTAATCCAACTAGACCACTGAGTCAGGATCCAAAAATTCATATTTTCAAGTAGATTAATAATCAGTGAGATATCTTAGACGTGAGATTCTATACTACAGAATATTACTGTGTGTATACTAATCGGACAATAATTTTTATGTAACTATTTCCATTTACAAACTTTTCAAGTAAGAACAACTAGTAAAACAGATGGGTTGTGGCTAGAAGTGGAATCCAAAATCTGCACTTTTTCTTATTTGGAAATCATCACTAGAATGTATTTGGAACCCAGTGTTGGCATTTACGTTGGAACTCAAACCAAGAACATTTTGGTTCAAACGTCAATCAGTTATCCATTGAGTTACAAATTCCAAATTATCACTAACTTATTCAACGCGGTATGGTGTCTATATCATTATTAGTAAGAGTTTGAATTATCTCATTGATGATATTTAAGACTGAATTTTGATCAGTCTTAGTATAAGCGCAACCTGTGTGGATTGCCTCGATATAGCTATTGTTTTACAAATGTTAGAAAATAGATGGATTGTGGCAAGTAAGGAGATTTAGAATGCGTATTTTTGTTTTAAGCAAAATTATTAGCTTGTATGCAGCTTAGGAGAACGCAACTAAATACAATGAAGTGATTCTATTTTACAGAATGTTCTTTTTACTTACATTGCTCGAGTTAAGTTGAAAATTTAGTCGTGTTGATAAGTGCATGTGATTAGCAAAGAAATGGATTTATTTACTACAGAGTATATATATAAGAGACTTACGCATGTCAATCGGTTTAGCCTAATAAATTTCCTTCTTCATTCTTAGTCTTCTCACTCACCAGCAGGTTGGGACTTGTATATGGGAAGTTGGTGTATCAATACCAACGCTTGGACAACATATATATAAAAAAATAGTCTAGAAAAACTGCTATGAATCGGTATCATGTTATGATTTATGGTAGTCTTTTGTTAACTATGTTTATTTAAACAAATCAAACGATACAAATAGATTGTGCCAGAAATTTGTAAGTAAATGAAGGGTTGAATTAAAAATGCATAACAATAAAAAAATATAAATCAAAATGAAAATTGCTTACTGAATAGAATCTGTCTGGATGACCTGGAGAAAATATTTCCGGTAGATTATTACAGATAAGATCAATTGTTTCAGGCCAAAATCCACCGACTAAACAATCGAAATCCGATAAAGGTTCAGAGCTAAGTAGTTGAATTTTAGTTAAAAAGAATAATAATGCATCTTATTATACTAAAACTAATGAAACGAAACATGAGTGATAAACAAGACCAATTTACGTATTAATACATATAATCCACCTACCATCTACCTTGATGTGTAATCCTAGATGGAGTAGGAGTGCCCAAACCAAAACATGATATCAGTTCATCAAATCATTCACTGTTGAATTAAACCATTTTGACAAATGTAGACTACCCAGTTGGGGATCAGCGTGATACCCGTTACCAGTAGTTGAAGATATTGGGTGATATAGTTCAAACTCGATTGAAGTGACGCAGATGGACTTGATCTTTTTTATACCCCAGTACTCAGTATTATTTCATGCTTTTTGTTGTTGGGTGATTGGTAAGAAGCCCTAAAGCTAAGTTACATGCTAATTGGCACTTTTCAGCAAGGTATACCTGCAGTCTTGAAGGTATTGATACTCGCTAGTGGATTCGCAACTGGGTCACCCGGACACATCTTTACGACATGTAACAGCTAGAATGAAACGTAAATACATGGTTTCTCGCCGACTACATCCAACCACCTATCATCTAGATATAATATATGCAGTGTAAAATCACTTAGACCAGCGTCCGTATCGCAACTCAGTTAATAGAATTCGATCGAGACTAAGAACTATACAAATATGATAGCGGCCGTTACTCAGATAACAAATCAATGTAAACAATCTTCATTTCTACGAATCCCTTGTTCATCGATGATGCTTCACAGGTACGTAAAACTGTCCAACACTTCCAGACTTTCTTCATCAATTGTGATTGGGTTGGTTGGTGTTCTCTATGTTGTATTTGAGGATCTTGGTTTTACCCTTGTGTATGTTGAGGTCTACTGCTGCAGTGGCTGCTGCTACACTAGTTGTCTTCACCTTCATTTGTCACTGTGTATGAGATGTAAGAGTTAGTTGATCTGTAAAGTCCAAATCGTCTAGTGGCATACCCCATAGCAGAGTGAAATTAAATTGTCAAAGTAAATCCAGAGTAGTAAACTCAGTAACAGTATCAACGGTAATTGAAGAGATCTGAGATAGGAGATACGACTTAGGAAGAAAATATAAATTCTTGAAAATTTTTTTTTGCAGGGATTTAAAACTTAAGATCCATGGAAAGACTGGTGTTACATACTACTTATATATGCGAACGTAAGTAGCGTACACCACAGATGCACCTAAGCCATACATCACCAAAGTCCCCAATCATTGGTTACAGTAATTGCATGGACCTGAACTAGATAGTTTGCACTTATCTACTTGACTCAGTCCAAAAGCCGGTGTTTGGACGGACAGATGCTACGCCTTAGTTTGACCACTCCTAGCTTTCCTCAAATCTACTTCGTACAAGTAATTGTCGTACGTCGAGTCATAAACAGGTAATAAGGTGATTAATAGGCCATTACACACTATATATTAATGCATAAATTGCACACAAGCATGCATACACGAACACAAGTACAGTTATGTTGTGAACAAGACAAATCAGCATAATAGACTACGTATAACTACGTAAGAATATCAAACATAATTTGCTGTACTTCAAACACAGTACACAAAGGAATAACTTGAGGAGAGGAAACAAATGAAATGTGATAAAATGCTTAAAATTTATAGGAATATCTATTACTGGATATTATATCGTACTTCAACGTTACACTTTAATAAGAATACGGTTGTAAGAAGCTGAAGAGAAACAATGAGATATAATGACTTAATATTATTCTGGCTTTATTCAAATACTCTCCTATAGTTGAAGATCAACACATAATGTCCTGTTTTTTCAATGTTCTATATCTTATTCTGTCTGTTGGACATCGGACTGGGAAAGCAAGAATTTATTTCCTAAGCTGAAACATTTGTGATTTCATGCGACTCAAAAAGGCAAAAGTTTGCATGACATGCTGGAATCAAACTTAAATTAATTAATCATCTTCCATCTTTAAAAAACCTTTTTGGATGATTGTTTTGGGTTGTTGGTTCGTTCTCATGGATATGTCACTATGTTACAAACAATCAGATAGATATTGTATGTGTTCGTCATAGAGTAAACGTAGTTAGAATCGTATATTTCAGCTAAAGGTTAGAAACCCGGGAAGTTTTCTGTTCTATAGAACTCATTAGCCAAATTGTAGATTTTAGGTTGGAAAAACTCACCAGTCATTTTGGGATTTTGATCTACATTGATATGAAAACTGTGGTTAGACACGTTTACAACTGTCTTGAACTCGAATCACATAAAAATTTGAATATGTCTTAAATACAACAATAAATATTACTTACCCTTCAGGTGAGCATTTAATGATCTGTTCTTTCACATAATAAATTTGTGAATCAAGAACTTTCAGTGCTTTGGTGTACATTGAGTTCAAAGTCTCAGCAGCTACTGCAGTGTCAGAACCTGCATGAGTCAATTCAGATCGAGGAGTAAATATCTATTTCATCACAAAAAGCAGAATAAATAAATGAGAGAGATTGTTTTTTTCTTGTGGAAACTGTAAAAATATTTCCAAAACGTAAACATACAACCTATGGTTAAGCAATGCTAAACATCATTCAATTTGATTTTTAGTTTATTGACCACTTCATAAATTAGAGTTACAAAATTCGGTAATATACCTTATAGGAAAAGATTGGAAATTTATTTGGATACAGCATAAAAACCTTAGAAAATTGACGTTTAAAGTTTAATTACTATTGATAACTAGATACCAGTGTATTATTTAATGACCAATAAGTCGATAAGAATTAATTCAATTAACAGTGACTAACTGGCCTAAAGTGTTTAGTTTTATTGTCTCCAACTGTAATGATGATAGAAGATAAATTTGTAATATCATAAAGCTATTAACCATGTCACAATGATGGAGACAAATAAACAAGTCTAGTTCTTTTATCAGGTCAACTGTTAGAAAGTAAAGAAAATAAATAAAACGTAGGATATCGTTTAGTAAATTAGTTTATGTAATGATGTAATGAATATCTTTTAAATAACTGTTTTGTGATATTTTTCACGTACACTATTTAATTGGAATATTTTGAAATGTTCATAAATTACAGTCAATTTAACTATAAATATGCTTAAAGCAATTAGTTTCTATGAGGAATTTGAATAGTGTAATGAGAAGATGAATATGATTAGAACTATGTGTTATATTAACGCATAGTTCTGACAATCTTCGTCTTTTCATTAAACTACACAACTATGTTGCCAAAAATGTCCTAGAAGTGAGCGTTGAAAAACACCTAAGGAACATCGAGTATCTGCAGACGTTTATTAAGAAATATGGAAAATGTGAAGAGAGAAAGAACAAATAGACTAGGATAAACAAAAAAACTATTTCTGTTCAACTTAAATTCAAAAGTGATGATGTTTCAGAGATAATTAACAGAAGAATAAAATTTGAACTAATCAGATGTCCTGTTTTGTACAAAACAAAGTGCTCTTTAATGCCAGTAAAGATACTCTTTTCATGTTACCGCCAAAGAACATATTCTAAAAACGTTTGGGATCAAATGGCTTCAAGACAGATTCTTGATGTAGGATACCAAATTGATACACTGAAGTCTCTCATAGTGATTAACAAACAGTTAGACAATGGTCTTCTGAAATTCGCTAAAACAATAAGAATAAAACATATGAAACTGTGATAAATGTTTCTTCATCGTCGTAACATTACACTCAGTTTATTGCATCATCTTTTATTTTAACCCTTTCTCATACTTTGGTTACATCACTTTCATTTTTTTACGAATTCATAATTTTATTTCTAATTGACTGACTTCAAACTCATTTTATTCTTTGCTACCATCATTCTGTGTTTAATTACTTCATTACGCATTCAGTCTAGTTTTTTTCACCTCGATGGACTTTAGTTATCATTTCAATTTTCCTTCTTACATTGTATTTATTTAAAAAAATTCTTTTTTTAATGGTTGAATTCATGAATAGATCTAAGCTACACCACCATTGGAAACCTGGAAGTACTGAACGGCCGTTGCGTCCTAGTATCGGACTCTGAGTCCCGCGTGCAAAATCGTGGACGTGCACTTCTGAGAAGTCCCATAGTAGGACGAAACAACAATCTAATACTTATAAATTTAACTATCAAAATTACTACAATCTCCACAAATCCCCATTCTAATAATTTTTATTAATTTTTATCAAAAATGTTTTGTTCAATCATTATGATACAGATTTACATCTCTAGTCAACTTTACTACATTGACATCTAAGATAATTTTGATTATTAAAATATTATAAGCCGTTGGAAAAGGATTTAAAGAACTAAAATAAATTCATGAAATACTGATTAAATCTTTGCTTTTGCTCTGTTCCGTTCAGTGAGTGTTACTATTGCGTAATGAAATTATTAAGGGCGTTAAAAACAAAATCATATAATGATGAAAAAGAGATTGAACAACTTGAAATTGGATGGTAAACAATAGATAATGAATAATTTCTAGGTATGAAATTAACATAAAACGAGAATTCAAACAAACAAGGGCCGTCCATTGCTTTCAAGTTTTCTAATGATAGTTTAGTTAAGATCAATTCATGGTTTAAACTATGAGGAAACTTAAAGAAAAGGTAATAATTTGATAAGATGATGTATTAAATTACCGAATTCTATGCTACCAAATAAACATATACACAAAACTAATAACTGTATTTTTTCTCTATAATTATCAAGTAATTATGTAAACAAGCTATCGACTGTAATTTATTCATTGATCAGCTATTTCATCAATCAATCAATTAGTTTTAGTACAAAGAAAACAAACTTAATTGTATTTCTATAAATAAGTGGAGACATAAGAACAAGGAAACAAAAAGTGGTTCAGTAAAGAGTTAACCTTCTTTATTTGATGAATTTATATTCACAGCAATAAAATTACAATAATTTACTATTGAACATCGTGTGACAGCGAAGTAAAGTAGACAGAATCATACTTTAGAATAAATATTATTCTTATCAAAAAACTGTAATAGAAAGACTTGAATATTCACTAGAGAATAATGTCATAGAATTTACATAACGATAAGGTATTGTGAAAAAAGAAGTGGTATAATATGACATGATAAAGTGTTGAAACTGAAGTGAAATATAATCAGAAAGAATATGGAAACAGAAATAAGTCGGTTAAAAGTAAGAGGTCAACCGAGAAAGAGTAAGAGTAATGGTTTTGAAAAGCTAGAGAATAAGATAGTAAATAGAAGAAAAGGTTAAATAATTTTTTTTTCTACACGCAGTTCTAGCTCCTCTAAATGTATGGCGAAAGTTTCAGCATTGTTAAAGTTCAGTGTATTTGACAGGTTTCTATTTAAATTTCAGGTGATTTTGAACGCTGAGTCGTTTTTTTTTAAAAAAAAAACCGAATGACCCATATTTAACGATGTGGTTGATTATCAATCTCCTTAGGAACTCATTGCTGTTTTTTTAAGGAAGAAAGTCAACGATTAACCATTATTTTTAAGGCTTAACTGAAAAAAAGTCCTACGAGACAGCAAATCAATTCTCGCAAGTTTTTAGACAAGGTATAATGATAAGCATCAATAATAAGTAGCATACAAACTCGGTCAGCAACAAAGTTTTCTAAAGATTCTTTCTCTCATCTCCAAAATTTTAATAAATTTGTCAATAGAATATAAAATTAATGATTAATAAAATAACTCATGGATAAAAAACGACAACAACGAGAACAGTAGTATAAATACAAAGTAGCCCAATCATGACAAACCTGGCTAAGTTGATCATGAAGTACAAATTTACGATATAGTATCAATAAATCAGATAATTTATCAATAGCCAAATATGTAGAAATAACTCGTCTTAATTGTTCAATAGAATGTTTCGGTATTGTACAATCAACATTTGTATTAATTACTGTTAAACAACATGCATTAAAACTCTCCTTTAAACGTATCTCTAATTGTTCTTGAAGATTTATTGTAATCCAATTAATACGCTAAAATCAAATGTTTGTTTGTTTAGAAAAAGAGAAGAAATTGATGTATATTCAGTCTATTCAGAATCAAGAAATTATATTGAATAAAGAAAACACGACAAATAAATAGGTAAACAATGAATATAGATATTTTCAAAATCTCTTCAACTAAACTATGACAGTCAGTTTATTAGTGATTTCCTTCGTCAAGATGAGTTCCTGGAAATCTTATATGAAGTCGTAACTGTAGAAGCTCAAGTATTTCAAAAGCGAAACACTTGATACAAATAGGATTGAATGATCATTATGTTCTTTATTGCACATTCAATGAAATTAGAGTTGTACAATTAGATATCAACCCATCGGTCATAATGTTTAAGTATTTGCAGTAAGATCTGAGAACCCTGACGTTGGATCCGTGAATAGAAATTGTGGGTTTGTACTACTGAGGAGTACAATGTTAGGACGATAAAACTGTCCAGTACTCTCTGATCTTCAATCTGAGATTTATCTATGACAAATGCAACCTACAAATTCATATTTTAATTAAATATTATAGGATTGACGAATAGAACTGTTTAGAATAGTCATATTCAAAGGAATCGCTAATTCCAATTACTTATAATATATTTAATATCATAGCCTATCTCATTCAAATGAATCATAAAGGTTAGCATTTATCCTCTGATCATTGTATACATTTCTTTAAGTTATGAAAAGACAATAATGATTTGAATTAAACAATTAACCTTGCACATCCATTAAATGAGATAAATACGAATACATTTTTACTGAAAGGAATTTTGTGGAAATTGTACAATTTTCACAGTTAAATCAAGGACCGATCTTAGTTAGACCGTAATTGGAAACCTGGAAGTACTGGATGGCTGTTTTATTTCAGTGTGGGACTACAAATCAGTGCGTATTCAAATATATTTGTTAATGTTGACTTAATTTTAATGTCCAAAATTTCAGAGCATATTTTACTTATTGTTTCGATTCGATTATACAATCTATATCTTTTGTGAATACTTCATCTTATCTTGTATACCTATAATGGAAGGGGTTTTTTCTATTTTCGTCTATTAAGCATGAAAGCTAAATTATTAAGAGTTTGCCATTTCTAAAGAATTGATAAAACACTAGAATTTGATCAGTTGGAATTGAAGGAAGGGTGATACTGAAAGACATTTTCCATAGCGGTGGTTTATTCACACATTAATTATAAATGCAACCGTAATACCAATTCTACTGCAAACTTAGGTATCTCAAAACAACAACGACAACAAAGAACTTGGGATAAATGTGCGTTATATTGCCATGTTACTAAACTAAATCAACTGAGTAAAGTGAAGTGAATAAGATGGATAACAAAAAAAGTCAAAATAATAGTAACCGTAAATAATCTACACAAATCCCCGTACTGATAATTATCACGTGGTCACTGGCAACTAATTTCGAAAGGAAATTTTCGACGTTCTAGTGAGCTGTGACCAGCGGAGTTCTACAGTGTTGGGTGTCATGCAGGTATCCACTAAAAATAATGAAGATGGTTAAGCAATGTGACGAATCAATTGAAGTTAGAGATGAGGACCATCGGATCCCGACCCATGGATCTAAACGTTAAGCTCTCTCTGTGACATCTGAAGGTTCAATCCGCAATGAGGTTGTTGATAAGGTCTTCTGAGGAGTCCTCTAACAAGACGAAATAGCTCCCCAGTGCTTCCAGGTTTTCATCAGATGTCTAACCTAGGTCAATTGATGACCTAAATGAAAAAGAATTAGTACAGCGAATAAAAAAAATCACTTTGGTGTTGCATTTTTGTTCGAGATGCGTCGATTCAGACATATTGAGTAAACGTCGAAATGCTTTAGTTATTAAAATACAGAGTTATTATACAAGTCAGATAACAAGATGAAACGATAACGAACTTCCATAAAAAGTAAAATTACTTTTAAACACGTACTGGTTTTAATGAATTTAAAATTGGATGACCACGACACTTTTTATTGAAAAATTGAAGTTTAATGTATTCATTAGCAATTCGATCCATACGTTGTCCAATATCTTCATGAAGACTTCAAAGGAAAAAGATGAATAAAAAGAGAATTGTTTTATCAGTGTTGCAGAGTAGTAATTATCTTTTGCTCAATCCACATGTTCACAATGCTAAGTTACATTTTGACAAAATATGTTATCAACGGTTTGGAAAAATAGACACTGAAATAATATTTATTAAAAACTATAAAAACTACGTAATATGAAGTGTTCAGATAATTGGACAGTGAAGCGTTTCGCCACATTCATGTGTATCTACAAATATAGCTGCTCCTGTGGAGAAAGCTGAGTGTACAACCAGACAACTGAGTCAACGAGTTAGTGCACGCATCCCTTCGTGATTAGGAAATGGCATGAAAAACAACTCCGTTGTGTCACATTTGATCGATAGCAGTCGTGTAATAGATAGGAATAAATCATTCGAAGTAATTTACAGTATACCTACTATATTTCTTTATGCGGTTCGATCTCGTCTCTTACATATAGCAGAATCTATAGGGATTCGCCCTAACAATTAAAGTCTTTGTGAACATAAGAAAATTGTAACACCCTTATCTCTTGCATGGCCGAATTAACCTTGACAAACGATTTCATTTATTGTTATCTTAAATACTCTTTATCAATTTTTCTTCGCCTCCTTTTTTCAGATATACGCTTTGTTGTCCAATTATCTGGACACTTCTTGTAAGGCATCTTTAATAAATTTTAACGAATGTTGTTTCGGTCTAATTTTGTCAAGTCGTTAACCTACTTCCTATTATGAAACATTGATCCAAGCCTTTATTATTTTTATCAGAACTAGTACCTCTGTCATCAAACTATCAATTTGTACTTTTTAGTGATTGTTTATTTTAATAATCTACTTCATTATTATCACTGACTCCACAAACTTCCTTGATTGGTTTAATATTTTCAGATATGTATAAAAATATTACTGTAAATTAGAGTAAAGCCTGATGAAGATCTAATTGAAAACAATATTATTCCGTTATATATGTGTTGTTCTAATTCACAATATGAGAATTTTTAGTATTTTAAAACATGTCGAGAATAGTAGAGAGATCAAATAAATTAAATAAATTTAACAGGGTAATAGATAGTGTACATATGAGATGGTGTTCTAATCGACTACAATGATAATCGAAGTCTACTTTTCCCAAAAAAAATGGCGACTAGGTCAAAAATTAAAAGAAGTGATTATATATAGCTTATTTTTACCATGGTTAAAACAACAAACGATGATATCATGTGAATACCTTAGATTTACTTCATAGTTTTAGAAGAACTAATTTAATGAAATAAGTTGGTTTGAATCGTTGACAAAGTATGTATTTCTGATATGTTGCAGACGTGTCCTTGATGACAAATGCAACTAACTCAGTAATTCAACTGAAAATTTGTAAACTATTTTCTAAAAGTTTGTGAACATGTTATGTGAAAGTTCTACAACACAAAAAAACAATCGTTAATTTACCCGGAAATGAACAGTCACAGGATTGAGTTAAAGATAGAATCTGAACAGCAATCCCGTTGTTCGAATTGTTATTTCTAATTTAGATTTCATTATCAAACTGATCAGTATATAAAATCAGAATAGAGATATATTTATGTTAATTTATCTACTCATTTACCATGTGTAGACTTATGCACAGAGTCACAATTTTACGTAGAAGAGTTAATTAAAAGTGTAAAAGTATAATTTAGGATGTAATTAATCTTAAATATACGTTATCAACTCATAGTTCCGATTACCATATTTTTGTAATGAAAAATGTTGTTAGAAATTTAGAAAAAAAGACAGATTATGGAACATAGAGATGAAGGTTAAGGTCATGATAGAAGGAGGGGTTGAACACACTGATTCCGTACGTAAAAGTTAGGGTTTCATTAATGGATAGTTATAGCCTCTGCCTGGAGGACAGTTGACAAACTTGTTCGAAGTAAAGACCGGTGTCAGACAAGGTTGCTTACTCTCACCCTTTCTCTTTCTCTTGGTAATCGACTGCATCATGAAGACGTCAACATCTGGGGAGAAGCACGGGATACAGTGGACAGCTAGGATGCAGATGGACGATCTAGACTTCGCAGATCATCTGGTCCTCCTTTCACAAACGCAACAACAAATGCAGGAGAAAACGATCAGGGTAGCAGCAGCCTCAACAACAGTAGGTCTCAATGTACACAAAGAAAAAAGCAAGAGTCTCCGATACAACACAGAATGCACCAATCCAATCACAATTGACGGAGAAGATTTGGAAGATGTAAAAACCTTTACATAATTGGGCAACATCATTGATGAACAGGGTGGATCTGATGCAGATGTCAAGGCGCGGATCGGCAAAGCAAGAGCAGCATATTCACAACTGAAGAACATCTGGAACTCAAAACAACTGTCAACCAACACCAAGGTCAGGATTTTCAATACAAATGTCAAGACAGTTCTACTGTATGGGGTGAAAACTTGAAGAATTACGAAAGACATCAGAAGATACAAATATTTGTTAACAGTTGTCTACCCAAAATACTTCTGATCCGTTGGCCAGACACTATCAGCAACAACCTAATGTGTGAAAGAACAAACCAGATCCCAGTGGAGGAAGAAATCAGGAAGAAGCACTGGAAGTGGATATGACAAACATTGAGGAAAGCATCCAACTGCGTCACAAGTCAAGCCCTCACATGGAATCCTCAGGACCAAACGAGAAAAAGAAGACCAAAGGACACATTACTCCGAGAAACGGAGACAGACATGAAAAGAATGAACAAGATTGGATAGAATTAGAAAGGTAGGACCAGGATAGAGTGGGTTGGAAAATGCTGGTCGGCGGCCTACGCTCGATTGCGAGTAACAGTCGTAAGTAAGTAAGTAAATTATTATTATTATTATTATTATTATTATTATTATTATTATTATTATTATTATTATTATTATTAGCTTTATTCAATATTATATTTTTTGTACAATATAGAATTCTCAGCGCAAAGTATTTCAACAAGTTTCCATTTCTTTCTTCCTGGTCGGTCCTGGCGATAAATACTGAGTGATCGCCAGTTAGATGTTAGCAGTCCAGTAAATGAACATCTGAATAATGTACATTCTTTTCGTTGTATATTGCCAGCAAACACATTGTCTCTTATTGAGCTTTTTGTAACTTTGACAACGAAAGGTTGTAAACTTTTCAGAAATGCACCAGGATAGCTTATGCGATTAATAGACATAATGATATATTAAAAAAAACAAAAATATATAACTTGTTGAAATGTCTAGATGGCAGGAACAGGTAGCCCAGATGTTCAAGCAGGCCGCCTTGTTAAGCAAGTACAGCCTCTGCCGCACGTAAGTCTTTAATTTGAATTCCACTGAAAGCGACCCTTTTGACTGTATGAATAATTTTGAAGGAGTCGAGTGAAGCTGAGTGACTAGAATTAATCACTTGCTCTAGGACTGAGCTTTTGACTGACTTACCTAATCCTTTAGATATCCAGATAGGGTAGTGTTCAGAGATATATTTCGAAAAAGCACACTATGTGGCCAATGTAACATGCTCCGTATGAGCAAGTAAACAGATAGATGAACAAGGATTTAATTCAAAGTGGGAGCTTGTCCTACACACAGCTAAGAATTGCGGGACAACTGCAAAAGGCAAAACGAAGTTCAACCTAAAAGTCCAACAACAGTTCCGTTTAACACCAATCTATTTTATTATAGACTATTATTTTTAGTAAATAAACTAATTCTAAACACAAATGCACAGTTTCAGCAAGTGAAATCGTTGAAAAGAAGATTTTCTTCGCTAAACTGTCTTCTATAGGTTACCGTTTGCAAATTGAAAAAAAACGACATATAAACTCGTCCCTATGGACAGTGACTGTTCATTTGGTCAAACATTTTTGAGGATCCAGACAGATTTTTAAGAGACCCTCTGTTGCTCCTAGTTACGGATAGGTATTCAAAGTAAAGGTTAGAGTTTGGGTTTTAATTACAAACTGACATCAGTTATAAAGTGAAAATTCTCTGAAACCGTATGGATAGATGAACTTCGCTTAAAATCGAAAAGGGGGTATCTGATTAGTTTATCCACAAAGTGTAGTCCAGCCAGGATAAGGTTTAGGATTTAGAGATAGAGTCTATTTACCTGTTATATATAATCTAAAGAGACAGAATTCGGTGTCTGACATGTTTGACACTAACAACTTTACTCTATGGTTATAAAAATTAGTCTTTTGCTATCATGTTAAACATTCTTCAGCAGCATACAGAAGTAATCTTCACTGCTCGTTATAAATGATAATCTACGCTCAAAAAACCTACAGATCAATTTACCAACCATAATTGCCTCGTTCCTGAAGTACACTTTTACCAAATAACAGCAATAGGCAACATGCAACAGAAGTAAAGGATATTAAACTTGTATACACTAGTTCAAGATTACAAGATGCAACCAATCTCTCATCTACCTTATAATGAACGGAGAGAAATTTGATAATCTGTATGTGGAAAGTACAATAACATCCACATGGCGTCTTACTTTCAAGATCTGTAATATGTTCAAAGCAAACAATTGATCAGATTTGATCAAGAGTACATTAGGTATGTGCTAAGTTCGTCAATTGATTAACGCAGAATACGGTTTACGACTACGACTCTTGAACGTTGGAACTTCACCGTCGCAAATCAGAAGACAGAAGAAAAGCTGGGGGAGTGTTTGTCTAGTAAGAATCGAAATATGCAGAAAACCACGGGTATTTATAGATATTAGCATTTGTTAAACCAACATTATAATTCGGCCAATCCTTAAGAGACACATTATGCTACTGTCCAATAGTAGCATGCCACGTTGATATTTTAGAAAGCTCAATCATGTTCTGATTAGATGGAAACTGTTTGGCTCATTTAAGGCCTCTGGATGCTCCTTTGTAGTTTTCGGAAGCCGACTCAACAGTATGAATGTGTCCTTGAATGCTTTCACCTTTCGAAAATTATAGCTTAACACTGTGATCTACGTAACTATGATAATCGCGAATATTAGCGTGTGTACACTTAGAAAATCTGAAGTTCACATACAAAGAACGACCAGACAGTTATGAACAACAAAACAAGCTTTCAGTAAATTGTGAAGAAACATGAAAAGGTCACTACTCTCTGAAGTACCTACTGATGATTTTTTCCAGAAAGACAATGAAAGCTTCACAAATAAATCATTCAGTATGGAGAATACAACACATCAACATCATTCTGAGCTATATGTTTTCTATCACTACACAACCATATACTTAAGGTAATTAACAACAAGACAGTATAACTCTAGTAGAACAACACAATGATAAATGAAATACAAAAACTTACGAACAATCAGCATAGAATTCAGGCGGCCATATATCTAATTCGTTTTCATCGACATCATTATTAATACCTTTTGACGTCTCATTTTCATTATTATCACTGTCACCTAACATGATGTTATTAGATTTATGATCTAATTGGTCATTAGTTTGTTCTTTATTCACTGATGGTTGATTTGATTGTGTTAGCCAACGTTCTAAACGCGACACACATGCATCCAATGTGAATAAACTATCTGCATAATCCTATAAATAAGAGTATTTGTAAAAAAGAATTAAGGTACATATATAATGTAATCAGAATTGATGATGAATTCCCTGGGACAATCTTCTTTGTCGTTACAATTAGCAATATTGTTGTTCTAGATACAATTACTATACGCCTTGGCACATGATGAAAACAGAGGAATAAAGGAGCCATGATGATCAACGGAGACTATTTTTCGGGACATTAATTCACTTAATTCAAAGTTAATAAAATACTAATATTTAGTATTGTCCCTAGGTTATTCTATAAACCATAAGCTTTTGTTTGATATATGATTCACTGCCATATCCTCTATTTTTCTGCCCTAATGCCTAATTTAGACATAATTGTATTTTCCTAATTGTTTGTACGTTGTGATCGTGTCAGTCATCTAGTTATTCATATATTTTCTTTTACACTAATCTGAATCAGTAGTAAATAGATTAGTGTTCCAGTCAACACATCTTCTCTTTCATTTGTCAAGTAATCAGACGATAGAATCGTTATCGTCTCTCTGCCTAAGCCCGTTAGTCTCAATTTGGGCTCACACATTTCTAGCCACAAGGTTGAACAGGTTAGCCTATTATGTCAAGATCTTGAGCTAGATCAAGACAATTTCTCTCTAGTATATTATTGGATAGACAGATCAAGGAAGTAACAGTACAGCTGAAAGTAGGAGTCCGCTTTCCCTCTCGAAGTCCAGTTATACGGTTATCCGATTATGGCCTCTTCCAGGGAAGTTATACTCACTACTTTACCACGATGGTGCTGTTTCCTTACAAAACTAAGTGGATGAAAGTGGACGTCCCACCTAAGAAAACTGGAAATCCTTGATTTCAAACCAGTGGTGAATGTGGGATCTAGGATCCTTCAGTTTTTTATTGGATAGCATCATCTGACATTACTTTACTGCTCTATGGATAAGACATTTAAGTTGAAGGTTTGTGAAATGGTTCATCATGAAAGTCCGTCTACTTAAGGTTTGAGTATCTGGTAAATATTTCATCCATTAAACACATAATGATGGCTACTAATGAAGCAATTATCTATTTACTCCGTACATTAAGCTCGAAATAATAAACTACAAGCACATAGACTAATGTTCGAGCTCATACAAGTTACATTACAACAAAATGTGCAGTTTGTACATTAGTTGTCAAACTATTTGACGAATAATGATTAGAAAGTGTGTTAAACACAAACAAAAACTGTATACCCTAATAAAATACGATAGAATAGATGGTAGGCGGCCTATGCTCCTTGATGAGGGGTAATAAGCGTAAGTAAACACTACTTTAAATACACGTGATAAACACATCTCAATTAACGTAAATATGCAGATGAAAGAAACAAAACAACTAGGTGAAAATGATATATAACTAACTGTCAACAATTACTGCTGACCAAAGTCGTATAACATTGATTAAAAGATATTGTTACATCGAGTTGCCGTAGTAACAAGTAGGTTAACATAAGAATTGTTGGTTACGTATTATTACTTATTGATAAATAGAACAAAGAAAACTATTTAGATATAAAAAGAAAAAAAGAGGAAGTGATAGGAAAGATATAATAAAAGAGACATTATTTAATAATGGTAATAATAAAAACATAAAACTGTGTTTAGAAAATTAATTTAGTGTAAAATAAAAAGAATGGTGAGACTGCTAACAGATTCCTTCTGGTACACAACACATTTCTAATCTTGAAACATTTTACTTACATGTTTACTAACTGATACTATCACTACTGCTACTACGTTCAGCTGAATACATATTTTTGTATGTACATTTCAATCAGTTGATAGAACTGATTACTATTGAACAACACTTTGTTTATGTACTTTTTAATATATATTGGAGCAACCCCATAAGTTAAAATCTCATTGTACTAGGTGATCAAATTAGCTTCAAACGCCATTCGTTCTCCCAGGATTCTGAAGCCCATGTACACGATTAATTTAAATTCAGGGCTTTCTAACTCGTGTGAATAGATCCTTCATCTTCAATAATCTGGTTTTAAGTGCCGGACATTCACTTTTCAATGTCACTCACAAAAAAATACTCCTGCTATTAGAAGGGAGTGAACTGAACTTTCCTAGCAAAGATTGTAATCCTGCGGCCATGTGAGAACACTTTGATATAAAAAAACGGACACTTTACCATCAGCTATACCAAGGCAGGAAACAACTCTAACAGTATATAGTCATCACAAAAATATTTTTAAACATTCTAATGATTAACATGTTGATCAAATCGATTTTGCACATAAAGTAGAAATAAATGAAACTTAAGTATACCTTTTCATTTTTTATATGCTGAAGAGATTTCAACTTAGCTGATAATTCTTGATCAGTAGATTCAAGTTCATCAAGGACTGACTATATAAAAAAGATATAGAATGAAATATCAAATAAATACTCAATATATATTGAATTTTTTTTCTTTCTAAGAAGTTATGATTACGTGATGGATAGAATTTTAAAGGAAAATACATCACTATACACCATAATATAACTAAAGGTAAACAACTCTAAGCAACTATACAATCGTGTATATTAAAGTCTATTGAATGAAGCTAAAGGGGAACTCAGGATAACAGTGTGATGCGGTGGTTTAATGGTTAAAGTACTAAGATTACAACCCACAGGCTCTAGGTTCAAACCCTGCCATTTGTACATCGGTTTGGGCAACCAAGCAGTATTAGTAGTACTAACGCAATATTATTCAAAGCAGAGTACACAAAGTCGTACATGGCCAAACTTTCTGTGTTGATTACTGATCGAGCCAACTAACAAAGATGATTGTTTGTTGAAAAAACTCACACTTGCAGGTCAATTAGAAAGATTTCCGTATCTGACATTTAGAATCACTATTTCAGACAAAAAAATAGATCAACCACTAAGAACAGGAAGCTCAAAAAATGTACAATCACTTGATTACGGTAATCCACTGATCGAATTATAATGTAACCATTAATCTAAATGACTCAACATCATATGTACTATATTTCCGGATATTAGGTAGTTGGAGTTAGTTGGCAGAATAACCTAGTACTCGTCAGCAAGGCGTACATCTGTAATCTAGCCAGAAACCTCGATCCAAGTTCTCTTGCCCATTTACTTTCAAGTACAACAACCACCATCAAGAAAGTACAAGTATTTATAAATAGCTGTCTTCGCAAGATACTCAACATCCACTGGCCGGATACCATCAGCAACAGCCTTTTGTGGGAGAGAACAAACCAACTTCCAGCTGAAGAAGAAATTAGGAAAAGACGATGGAAATGGATAGGACATACATTACGCAAATCATCAAACTGCATCACGAGACAAGCCTTAACTTGGAATCTGAAGGGAAGCGTAAAAGAGGAAGGCCAAAGAACACATCACGTCGGATAATAGAAGTAGATATGAAAAGGATGAATTACAACTGGAAGGAGCTGGGAAGGATTGCACAGGACAGGGTTGGATGGAGAATGCTAGTGAGAGGCCTATGCTCCTTCACGAGGAGTAACAGGCACATGTAATATGTAATGACATATCAACAAAGGGAAATTATGCCATTTGATAAGTTATTGTTTCATTAATCAACTTGTATACACATCGAATCAGAAAATGTATTAAGATCGAAAGAGTTGCCCTTTTTTTCAAGAAAATGAAACTTATTTTAAGGAGTCCTGTGTTCCAAGCATTATTTTAACTTACTAACACCATTGTTACATATTTCATGCACGCAACTAGTGTACTGTTACTCACAGTAAGTTTGGTATCAAAGTTTCTAATTTTTTTTCTTATTAGAATTTGAAAATCAAAGTATGTTGTGCATGCAACACTTCTTCAATTACAAAAGTTATGAATCAGAGTATTTATCTATCCCATGAGATGTGTAAGTGTACACTACAAAATGTCATATTATTTCTTTAAAAAGAAAACTAAATGGTTTGTAATGAAAATGAGAAAAAAGGAACTCATATTAAACACTACAAATAATGATTAAAATAAACTGTGGACAATAAGGAAGTTCGGTGTTTTATTAAACTAATCGTGCCTATGAATAACGGTGTGTTTGTGTGCCTATACATACATATATGTGAAATGTATTTATACAATGGAAAATAGTTGTTTATTTCTATGAATTAACTACTTAATGGAACATTGATTAATGCTTTCAGAGAAAAAATCGTAGATTTTTAAATTAATTTTACCAAAAGACATTAATCAGTAGTAAAACAAATACTATCACAATTGGATGCCGACTCAGTGGTCCAGTAGGTTGTGTTCGCGCGCGAGACCGAAGGCCCTAGGTTCGAATCCCGCGAGCGGGATCATGGATGCGCACTGCTGAGGAGTCCCACAATAGGACGAAACGGCTGTCCAGTGCTTTCAGGTTTCCAAAGGTGGTCTAACATCAATCGGTTCATGATCTCAACCAAAAACTTAATAATCTCCACAACCCCTATACTAGTAAATACTAATAACTTTGAATGATCTTCTTCCGTAGGTAGTTATAATTTTAAACGACAACATGGTGGATAAAAACATTGTCTTAGAATTTTATTTAAAGCCTATTATGAAGTAGAATTTGATTGGTTAAAGTTACTAGAATGGACTACAGATGACTAGACTAATGATATTTCTATTCATAGAACCAAATCTTAGAAGATTAAATCAGTTTGTTAATAAATTGAGTATATGAATGTATATTAGGAAATTAAATCAATTTTATTAATACACCAAATATCCAGTCAGTTATTTTTCACTTCTGACAACCGGAATATCGTCACTTCCCGATTTCAGACAATTACTGACAAGGTGTAATATGTATCTCCATAGAATAACAGATTATGATTTTAAACTCACAATTATATTTTAGGTTACCTAGATAATATTGGTTGTCAATTTACAAAAGACAATTATTCATTTTAGTGAAGAAAAAGGTGGGGTAAAGAGTTTGAATCTCACTGAAAAAATATTGACGAGTAACAATGTTTGACGGTTCCTTGAATTATTTCTCAAATGATACCATTTTATGTAATATTCTAAGCGAAGAAATAACTATTTTTGAAACGAATCTTTGAAATTGAGATTACATTGCGACAGTCCACCTATCAACTCTATAAAGTAACTAGTGTCTACATTACATATTTGACCATACCTAGACAAAACGGAGAACCGACGAGATACACCCTCCATTTATCTGGCGACCCGATGACTAGTTATCGTGACTAGTGGGTGTAGACATAGCACTAACTATGACGGCAGAACAAGCACTGTTAGAATGGATTCCTGTTAACCGTCATCTATGTGCTGGCATGGTATTCTGGCTCAGCAAACAGGTAATGGTGAGCGTCTGTTACAACTGTGCTCAGATAATCGTTTATTTCTAACGAGCACTAATTTTAAGAGTAAAGAGAGATATCGTCTAACATGGCGACCCTCTGCATCAAACCAGCCGTCAGTCATCGTTGGAGAGGCTCAGGAGAAGACTGCCGCTTGTTCTGGAATACATGTTTAGACTCTAACCATGATCGAATACGAGCAAGTATATTTCCGTAAATCATTGATGGGAGTGAAGTAGTTAAACGCGTTGACAACTTCACTTATCTTGAAAGTCTGATCAGCCCTAATGGGTTGGTGTCTGACGAGATCTATGCACGGATTCGAAAAGCTCGTTTGGCTTTTCCCAACTTACGTCAACTATCAGAAGGGGTTTGTGGAGATTTTCGAAATTTTCACAGATTGAAATCATGAGTCAGTTGAAGCTAGACCACCACCGCACTGCTAAGGAGTCCCATACTAGGACAAAACGGCCGCCCAATGCTTCCAGGTCTTTCATGGTGGTCTAGCTTCAACTGACTCATGATTTCAATCTGTGAAAATTACGTCAACTATGGCGAAGGCGAGATATCCGTCTATTAATTAAGGGACGAGTATACTGGGAAGCAGTTCGTTCTGTCCTACTTTACGGCTGCAAAACATGGCCAATGAGAGTAGAGGATACTAGTAAGCTATACACTCTCTGTCTTCCCTTAAACTGAGATTAAAATTACTTTATACCTTCCTTGCTAAGAACTAATTTTTTTCCCCGTATCATATTCTCACATGTAATCTTTATTTATATACATTACTACCATTGAAGTAACTACTATGAATTTGCTATTCGTCTTGTTGTGCTAATGAGGTATGGCCAAAGATATAAATGTACACTAATTAAAACCTAATACCTAAATCGAATAAGTCAAAAACTCCGCGTTGTACAATATCGAACAAATATTCAGTACATGCAGAGAATTAATAAAAAAGGCTTACCGATACATAAGATTGTAGTTGTTTCAATGGTGTGACAATCGTATCAACTGATTTATCCAAACCAACAAGATTTGTTGATAGACTTACAAAATCAGCATAATCTTGATTGATCAATTCAATTAAACTGGACTTAAGAATGTTAGAATATTGAAGAAGATCATCACGAAGTTTTTCTAATGATATCCCACGACAATGTTGCTCCAAAATAAAATCGTCCGGTTTAAAGTCATCCTGTAAAAATATTTTCAAAAAAGAACTAGTGTGAATATAAATTACTTTACAGCTACGTGTTGAAAAAAACTTGATGACAGATTGATATACTGTTTCATATACCTCAAATACGAAAAAAACAATTCCATAAAACTTCCTTAGTCATCATTTTTGCAGATTTACGCAAAGATTACAAGACATCCATATGAATGGTAAGGCCATACATGGACCGCTTAGTGGTTAAGGAATTCGGTTCTCAACCAATAGACGACCCTAAATTAGAAACCCTCTGGATATAATTTTGTTTAGGGGGCCAAACACTGAGCCTAAAGGTCTAATCTATAAGGCAGTGGAGCAACGCCAGGAGATGCAGCCCCACGATAGCTGGCGATCAACAATAGGTTCATATGCCATTTATTCCTTCCGTACCAGGGCATTTAGGGACGAACCAGTCATTAGCGTGTGGTAGAAGAATACTTGCGATATGTATTGCAACGAACCAGTAATCAACTATACCCATAGGTACAAATAATGGTGGATTATTAATGGAAGCGATTGAACTGTATGCTTTTTGTTCTAAAAGAATAACTGATTTTACTTGCTGATACACATACATGCACCAATAATCTGTATTTGAGTAGTGGACATTCCATTCATTGCAAAAACTACTTAATCTTCCACTGTGTACACAGAGCACATAAAGTATATTCGACCAATATTCATACACTATATATGATCTAACTCAGATACTAACAACTATACCACACAATCAAAACTATCGATTTTAGACAGGGATGATCAGACAAAAAGTTATAGTTTAACGGGTAGAACACTAAACTAGTGTTAATATATTACACAAGGTATGATATATATAGGGACTTTTCTAATTTTTCCTTAACTATTTTCCACATCAGTCGTTTACGTACAATAATAACACCCATTTATACTTCTCTTAGTGAAAGATGATTCTCAGAAATAATATTTATTCAGTACATAATGAAGTTGGATCATTCCTATATTTACAGTTCATTGAATCGAACGAATTGTCGTTCCATATATATATATATATATATATATATATATATATATATAAAACTTAAAATGAAAGCAAGGTAAGAAATTTTGGATGTCCTGACAACTTTATCCAGTTAATGAGTCATAAAGAAAAAAAAGACTCAAGTCCTTCATTCCACTAATTGCAGTTATCAAATATGGTTCAGATCGAGATAATTAACTAAACGATATGTGATCTGTAGTTAAAAACCTACTTTGAAGTGGGAAGCTACTCGGAGTATGAGGAAACCACACTGTGGTCTGCATCGTTCTGTAATGACAATTGTAAGTTTGCAGTAGCAAGAGCCCTTTATGATTGTAGATTTCATAATCTATTATAGTGAATTAAATGAACTTATTCACTTACCTAATTGAAATAACCATCACATTGTTCTGAATCTTTGTCGATTAATTTTTTCGTCTTTTATAGTGTAAGCACTATTACTACTTCCTGTTGACATGAATAATTGATGCATCAAATACCAGTAAGGAATTTTTAATATCACTTGTGTAATATTGCGACAAATTTCTGTACGTCATGCTTTCGAATTGTAATTGATCTAAAAGTACTTTATAAATATTCCAGAAATTTTAGTATTCGCTATCTATCTTCGCCCCCAAATGCCCTGATACGGCCGAGAGTAAGGAGAGTCCGCTCTTCCTCTCGAAATGCTCTCACATGGCCACGCGTATATAGCCTGTCAGGGAAGTCCTACTCATTGCCTTCTCGTGACGGAGGTGTTGTTTACGAAATTAAGAGGACGAAAAGCGAATGTCCGGGGTTTTAACCGGGTTGGTGGACATTAAGAATCCACCTAGGGGAGTTGGAAGACCCTGATTCCAAACCACTGGTGCACATGGGCTCCAGTATCCTGAAAGAACAAATGGCGTATGAACCAATCGTACGTCACCGGCTACCATGGGACTACATCTACTTACAATGCTCCACTGCCTTGTGGATCAGACCTTCAGGTCGAAGGCACCGAGTGTGGCCTCTTAAGAAAACCACCTGCGTCGGTTTGGGCGCCCGGGCAGTATCACAGCCCTCACACATATCAAATGAGATTTGTGTGGTGCATATGTATTTGGTGCCCTCTTGTACCAATATCCGTGTTAAAATAAATAATAAATATCTATCTTCGACTGTGAAATGTCCCTACTAGTTCAGCTGCTACAACTAGGTTTTCTTCTCATACACCATATACAGGATGAGTGGATTCAAATATATTTGTTTCATTAAATGATAGACAAAGAGAAAAAAACACAAAAAATAAAGATGACTTTGTTCGAGCCTTTCCGTAATTAGTATAGCAATAATTTACAAGTTGTTTCTTGTGGTAGCGTGTGTCAGTAGTATATACGTTTATTTAAAATAGGTGACCCAAAAGTTTGAGCAGAACTCTGAAACTGCTATGTCGTCGTAATGTGCAACAACATAAATACATACGTGTGGAATTTAATATTACACCCTATGAAACTTTTAAGTATAGGAAGGATCTAGTTAGCTAATGAAAGTCATATTTGACATGTATAAACCAGACGAGAAGCTTATAGCGGGATAATAAACAAAGTTTGCAGTAAAGCCATATATACCATCGGATTAAGGAATAAGATCAAACTAGGCAAGAATTTAGAGGAAACTAATTATATGGGATTTCAAAAGTATGTACTGAAACTTTCACTACGGTGAAGTTAAACAGGGCTCTATGTAAAATATACTTTGTGTCTCCCATTAATATTGTTAGAATGGACAATGACGAACACCTGTACCCTACCATAAAAGAACAAAGAAAAAAAGAATATTCAATAACCACTCCAATTTGATAAGAACTTAAACAGTCAGGAGCTAGATATAGCATTTTTGGATATCATTCTGTATTACTGAGAAGTGAATATCTTTAGAACTTAGTCATGTTATTTATGTGTCTGCGCTTACACAAATAAACTGGAAAAGTTAGGAAACAGAACTGATCATTATCAAGGTTTGACTTGATAATTTCAAATAATTTTAATAGTTTAGATCATGAGTCAATTGAAGCTAGACCATCATGGGAAACCTGGAAGCATTGGACGGCGGTTTCTTCCTACTGTGGGACACCTCAGGAGCGCGTGTCCACGATCCCGTCTCGGGAGATATCCACAAAACCCCTTCTGATATTAATTTCAAATAAATTGGACATTTTATTAAGAACTGATTCATTACTTCTTATTCAGTGAAATGAATGCATATTAATCTAGATACTAATAAGTAGAATCTGAAGGTCAAATATTTCTTATTCTTTAACTAGCAAACAATTGTTTCATAATATGCATATGCATCACTACCGGGATTGAACTGAAAAATTTCAAAATCAATTTTCACATAGCAGACAAATGTATTCAAAAGTAGTTTGAAAAAAACGCTTACATTTAGAAATGATTCACGATCAAAACAGAATGTTAGACCAATAGGAGCAACATCAAGAGTATCCTCTAATAATAATTTCCGTAAATTAGAATTTTTGTTTTCTATTGAAGAATCCACTTTACTATTTTTTAATTCTTCAATTGTAGGCATGCTGAAAGACCAAAAAGCTCAGACTATTATCAAATGACACAACTTATTCACACTTTAATGTAAGTTAACTAAAATCTAACGTTATCAACAACCTTGATTATTCATTCTAACAAAAAAATGAAGATATGAACACAGTTGAACAATATATATATGTATATTTGTATAGATGTGAAACACCAGTATTTATCAGAAGTGAACAATACAATATGACGCCCGCTAAAATGTGTAGAAAGTGTCATTTTTGAAAAAGAAATAACTTAATTCAGATTGAATAAAGCACAAAAGTTTAACAATTAAGATAATGAAAAATTATGATTGAATTATTAAGAAACTCTTGAAAACTTCATTGAATTTGATGTGTATCAGTGATGTCTAATAGAAGATAATTGAAAATAGGTGTATTCAACACATCAATCGTATACAAATGAATAGATAGTACTGTACAACACATGAAAACTTATATTTAAATAAATATAACGATGAGAAAACAAATTAAAACGACTATAATACAAGAATAAAAAAGCAGTCACAATCAGACTACAATTTTAAGTAAACGCAAGTTAGAAGAAAGAAAGTAAATTGAAAATAGATCATACACACATAAACACAAACGAGTATTAATAGTGGCTATGCAATGTACGACTTTATTTTTAAAGCCGAATTATTACGATTTAATTAATTTGTATATAATAAGAAAGGATAATCGGAAATGAACAGCTGCCTATACACACATATATATATTGAGAAACAGAAAGATTTGAAGTGAAAAATTACTGAAATGCTTTTCCTTCTTGGGGATGGGGTAAAGAGATTGACTATATCCATGATTGTGAATAACAAATAAACAGAAATCGAAAAAAACATAACAATTATTGGTGTGGCATAATCAGAGATTATAATTATAACAAGGGTAAAAGTAATGTACATGTATGTGGAATAGACAAAATAACAAGATTATATACAAGATTGATATATATATATATATATATATATATATATATATATATATATATATATATATAAGGTATGAGTATGATTGAAAATCATCGTTTTCTACGACACTGACGTTTATGTTCTTTTTGCCAATGCTCCTGTTGGCACTGTGTACTACAGTACGAAGTATTCCAACAACAATGATAGATAGCCTCCATAAGACAATTACGACACCACTGTCGACGTTTAGTCTGAACAATAACTTCTGCAAATCTTGCCTCAGCAGCTTCCAAAGTATCATGAGCTAATTTACGTTCATGTTCAATAGCCTCACGAGCACTGGCTTGAGCCTGTTCAAGAGCTGAATGTAAAGCAGTAGCTTTCTCTTCTTTAAATTGAGCTATGAGTTTTTCTTCAAGTTCTCGCAAAGCTCTTTTAGTATCATTAGCTGCAGTCAACCGTTCTGCTTCACGTTCCTTACACTGTGAACATGGTTGTTGAGATGATATCGGTATTTCCATACTGGCTGGGGTCTAGGTAACGAGAAAAAATGAGTAAACAAAATATATAAAATCAGAAATCTTGGACAATAAGCGCTGAATAAAAAAGAATGCTTAATATTAAATGAAAATTATTCTTCATACTATTTTGCTGAAACCGAACAATAATTAACAGGTATAATACTTGCTAGATGCTTATTATAAAAGATTTAGAACAAACAAAATTATTAAAAAGATTTGAAGTACAATGAATCAATTATAATGGACATGGATGACATAGTAAAAAAGTAACGCAAATCAAGTCACCGAATAAAACGCTGATATGAGTATATATATTATAACCTATGTTGACAAAGTTAGATGTTTTTTACTAAGCTGATTCGAGAAAAACATCAACACCCATGTAGGGACTAAAATAGAAGGAATAAGTTAAAATGTAAGGAAATTAAACTACCAAGTTTATTCTATCATACATAATAACTGGAAATTCACATTACTAATAAATTCCTTTCGAAGTAGGACATCCCAATAATAAAATATAACCAACAAAAAGTTTCAAATCATACAATCACTGGTCAAAAATTACAAAAAAGAAATAAATTTCCTGACAGATTATAACAGCTTACCTGAATTCCTTTATGAAGTTGTTTTCTCGGAGAGGATGTCACAGAAAGTTCAGGACTTTTCACCGAGGCTTGACGTTGATTAGTTTCATTTGAAACATCATTTACTCCTCCTCCAACTGAGTCTCTGTTTAGAGCTGCTGCTGTAGCTGCAGCAGCAGCACGTTTATTTGGCGGTAAGTGTGAACGTGGGAGAGTAGACATTCCGGGAGTAGTGGCAACGTTATTGGAATTGCTAGACAAGGCACCTGAAGACATAAAATGTGAAGAAAGATTAGCATTAGATGTAGTAGGATGAACGGAACCACTTAGTCTGTTATTAGTGGATGAAGTTCCTGAATTCACTGAAGAATTTATTGTAACAACAGAATCATTGCATGGAGAAAAAAGATTTTGGCCAGTATTAGAAAATAAGTTTGTAGCAGTAGATAGACTGTTTCGATCATTAGTAGCGTTCGAATTACTAATGGATACAGATGTATTCAAAGGAGGAGCGAATGGTGGTCGACGTAACATTGTACTGCTTGCTCCAGAAGTTCTATCCTTGTTGCTTGAACCACTACGAGTTGGACTACGGAATCTACGGTCATCATCTTCATCGTCAACTTTGACAATATTACGATGTCTGCGTCCACTTTCATCGTTGTCATCCATATCAGAAGAAGAGGGTGAAGAGCATGTACTATAATTGCTAGAATGAGAAGAACGCTGTTTAGCAGTAGATGCCTTCTTAGATGGTGATGTTTTATGGATACTCGAATCATTAGTTCCAGATTTTCTCATTGAAGAAACAGGTGTACCCGATGTGTTGTAAACACTTGATGAATGATGCGAATGCCAACGATAGTTATTCGAGTGCCTCAAATTCTGACTGTCGTTTCCAATGGGAGAATCACAGCGGTCAGTTAGCTCATCATCTTCATCTCGAACATTACCAAAACTATCCATTTGTTTGGAATACTTTTTAGAACGTTTACCTCCGGAATTCACTGTATCTTGAATCGAAGTTTTATTTGGAATCGTTAACCGTTTTCTTTTAGCATCTTCAATACGATTAAGAGAGCTATTTGAGGCAGCTAACTTCGGTCGTCCTCGAGTTGGACTCTAAAAAGGTCAAATAAGGCTAATAATTAGAGCAGCAATTGGAAACGAGGAAAGAGTTTAACTACGCGTCATTAAAAATGTAATGTAAACCTGGTGAGAATTTTAACATATGAGCATAGTCAGTAAAACCTATGGAAAAATTAGTGTACACTGTGAGAAAATGCCAATAAAAAAGATGGACTACTCAACATGTGAGGATTCAAGATAACATGCACATGAAACTTGAAGCCAGTTAGTCATTATGTTAATTTAGTTTCTTTTTGACAAAAGCGTTATTTACAAAGTTTACATTAGGTTGGTAATATTTGTAACTAGTTAGTAGGAAACAACGATTGAATAGAAATTTTACTCTAAATAATTATCTCAGCAAAGCATGATAAACGTTATATCTAGATGGTTGTTTTCTTGTTATACTGCGTATAACTTGAGCAATAGAACGCCAGAACCCTTACAAGTCGCAGTGAGAAGAGAGAAGACTAGTGGAAGGAATGTTATTCCACACAGTGTGAATCATAGCACAAAATTGTCAGGTATTTATAGTTTTTTAGTAAGAACGAAATCATCATAACAGTCCTCCAACCTGCATTTTCCAATCGGGAAGCTACACGTAGGAATTCTAGGATATTCTTCCAAAAAATGGTCGGGTGGAATACCTTCGGCTCCTTCTGAACCTCTTACAGCTTCCTCGGGTTCACCCGTGGTCCGTCCTCACAACAGAAAAGTATATGCAAAACAATAATCTAAACTCGGTTACATTTCCATCGAGATATGTTCAGTTGCAAATCAAACTTTGGTAATCTGTTGTGGATGCGGAAGAATAGACCAATAATTATCATGTTAAGTCCAGTGGTGTCCTTGGACTTTAAATGTACATTCCCTATTGGCTATTATTTAATTCATTCGTTACATATTGCGTAAATGTTGTTTACTATTTTTATGGTACGATGTGGTATGCTTGATTGGTATATAAACAAAGTATGTTTGAAATATAATGATTCATATCTCCGAGGCTGTGACTTTTGTTCTCCACTCAACTGGGCTAGGACAGACAGCGGGGCAGGGCCAATCAGGGCACTAGGTCGTCCCTTACGTGTTTTCCGTGTCACTCTCACCGAATCGATCAATAAACGCTGCTTATCAAGACCTGCAGTCTCACAACTTAAATTCATAACATAATCATTAATATTTTTTCGTTAACGCAGAGGACAATTACAAACTAGATTCTCCTGAATGCCAGAGGACAGTAGCACCCATTCAACTGTAAGTAATTGGTTTTCATACAGACAGTAATGGAGAATAACTGTGATTTACAGAGATTTCATCCAATGTTAGGCATTGTTTCATGTTCATTTGCGTCAGCTGTTGAATAACGTGGGAGCAAAATCCGACTCAAAACCTCCACGTGGAGCCGCTGGGTAGTGGGGGAAACCCTGCTAGTTCATTTGGGCGCTAAGCAGAGATCGGATTAATCTACCACTCCTAAACTGAAAACGGATTACTTGGGGTTCAAACATTAAGGCTCTCAAATGTTGCGGACTCCCCGATGTGTGTGTTTGTGTAAGTGAATCCCACGAGTCACGGTTTGTGTAGGTAAGCATATGCAGAGGGTATACGCCGGGATTGAAAAAGAAACAAACTGGTATGTCTGCTCTATGTCTAATAAAATCAGCTGCCTAAACCAACAAGTCGAAGACATAATAAAAAGACACGATTGCACATATTAGGGAAAGGTGATCATCAACCCTCCCTGAAAGTGTTTATGCTTATGTGCATGCCATGAATTGCGAGGGCGAAAGTCTTTGTATCAGTGGTATGCATATAATGCTCAACAGACAGTTAGTTATGGCGTATACGTTCGAATAGAGGTTCCCATCTAACCTCCTACCTATATGTATGCGAAAGGATGCATAAGTGAAAACTTATATGTTACGTGTATGTATGTAACGCATACTTGCACCTGGTGCGATACCCGCGCGACGAGAGTCGGGGGCTCTGATTTCACCAGGGAATAACACCCATACAGTGAGTTTGCGAGTCTGGAAAAACAGAACCTACTTCCAGAAAGGCCACCAGGCTTCACCAACCTTATACGGCTGGAACAGCGTTGGATAACGCAATGACGTTTGAAGTGAATGATATTGGGTTCGGGTCCCGGAGTGAATACCAACTCTAGGATGTAGACACGCCCAAATGACGAGTCCCAAGCAAGACAAAACGCGTGTCCTGGATCCCACTGCTATTCGCCATTTTTCTTTACTTACGGCTGTTTCATTTTGTTGAACAGTGAGATAGGATTTTGAAACATGTTCAACGTTGTCCAATCTTAATTATGACTGACATGGCCAACACCGAATAAGACTAATCATCAAAATATGCTTAAAATGCAATCAATTCACTAGTGCGAAGCCTACAAAAAATATTTTTATTTATATTCTTTGCTTTCAGAGGCCGAGATTACTTCATATTCTTCTTACTTCGAGTGGAGTTGTGATGCTTCAGCATATTATTGACAGTAATGAAACCTAGTGGAATTGATAGCTCGCTATCAATTATTGATCTACTATACTTTGTATATAACTGTGTCACCACATCACATAAGATAACATTAAGACGTACAATAAAATCAATAATACCAGTCAAATTACATTGAAAATGAAGTCAATAAATAAATGGAAAACAATCAGGGATTGTTAACGGCTAGTCAGCAGAAAATAATGATGATAACTAGGATATGTTCTAAGAAGTTATATGTATTGAGGCTAGTTTATAGAAAGAACTGTAAGATCATAGTATAATTCATTATTGACGTGTATTGATCACCATCTAAGATATAAACGAAGCATGAATTTGTAGGTATCGTTACCAAGGTTTGACTTGATAATTTCGAATAAATTGAACATTTGGTAGATTGGTTATTTATTCTCTGGAGAAGTGGCTTACATTGAGTCACGAAACGTCAGAAAATCTAAAATATTACTCAATTGTAATTTAAGAGGTTTATTAACAGCCTAAAAACCATATACACAGACATCTCAATTTAAGTGAGGGACAACAATTAGTGGTCTCAATTGTTTCAAAAACTATACTCACGTTAATAGACCATACGTAAGGCTCAGAATTTTAGGGACTTACATTGTCCTACTAAGAAAGAAATGGATAAATATGCACAAATGGTTTGTGTGTACAAAATCGTTTATGCGCCTAAATAGTAAAGAGTGAGGAATTTATAATTAAATTTTCCATTTCAAAACAAGTACATATAGTTCTAAAAAAGATACACTTACAGGTTTTATAACACTTGAAGAACCCGATTTTGTCCACAATTCCGAATTGCCTTCAGGATCTGAACTCTCAGCTGTTGGTGAACACCAACTTGAACGAACAACATCGTTAACTATAAAAGTTACGAAGAAACGGTAGTAATGTAGTTAAAATGAAAGTTAAATTTAGTTAACATGAAAGGATGTGTACAGAAAGAATCTCACTTTTCGTATACTTAATTATTTTGTATAAAAAGTCCTCCAAATAACTATAAGATTCAGAGACGAAAGTAAACCAGGTTGATTTATACACCAAATAGAATAGTGGATTATTTTGAAATGATAAATGTAGATAAATTCGAGAAAAATATCGGTGAAATATACAATATAGAAGAGTGAAATGAAAAGCAAACGAATCTACAGTAATGATGCTACACATGATACTTAGAAAGTTAAATTCTCATGAATGAACTTCTTTTATATCGTCAAAGCCTTAAAAAAAAATTCACGGTCAAGCTTCAGTAATTTTGAGAGGTGGTGTAAGGATATTGAATAAGCTTTATACATACATTATAAAACGGCCTATATCTGAGTTTATACACATTGAAATATATTAACTTCTTTAATTAACGGTAAAACTATCGTAAACTGATGGCCCTGAGTTAACGAATCCGAACTAATATATTATCGCGAATTGCGCAAAATTTAAAGTGCAATGGCTGGTAATTTGTATGTTATTATGAATTAAATGAAAACCGAAAATAGTTGCTTCTCAAAATATCCGTTGAAAAATTAGAAAGTAAATCTAAGATGATGCTTAAGCTGAATTACGAAACCTATCCACTCCGAAGGCAGATTGAGTGTTTAAGTGCTTGATATGAAATGCTCTCACACGGCCACGCGTATACAGCCTCTGCAAGGGAAGTCCTACTCATTGCCTTCTCGTGGCGGGGGTGTTGTTTACGAAATTAAGAGGATGAAAAGCGGATGTCCGGCGTTTTAACCGGATCCCAAAACAATGGTGCACATGGGCTCTAGTATCCTGCGGGAACAAATGGCGTTATGAACCAATCGTTGGTCACCGGCTACCATGGGACGACATCTCCTTACGATGCTCCACTGCCTTGTGGGTTAGACCTTCAGGTCGAAGGCTCGGGGTGTGGCCCCCTAAGATAACCACCCGCTTCGGTCTGGACATCCGAGCAGTATCACAACCCGCACACAAATATGATGAACTGTCGATAATTATGGAAAATACTTTTCTTGCTTCAACTATTAATCAAACGATTCACATTACTATTATTACTACCGTTATTATTAACTACGTCATTTATTCACTCTCTTTTATTCCTACTCTGTCTATCCTTTTACTTTCTTCATAAAAAGTGGTTGCTTCTTCCTTAACTGAAAGATCTCTTCTGAGTGTACGTTTCTGTTTCCCCCATTATTATTATTACACTACCTTACACTAATGTGTTCGTTATCGTTTTTATGTTTTTTTAAGCTCCTTACCTTTTTTTTCCTTCTCTGCAAATTCTCATTGTTTTGTGTGGCGCATATATATTTGGTGCCCTCCTGTATCAATATTTATGTGTTTACATGAATAAATAAATAAATAAACAAACGTTTATGAAGCTAGGTAATATTCTCCATTTTTAACTCTTACTTTAAATCTTAAGTTTGCAAATAGGAGGGTGGCAAAACATAGTAGTAGGCTGATGATAGTTGATGAAGAAAACTACATAGTGTGATAGCATTAATTCACTACACTAGCCCGACTCCTATAATGTAAATTTGACCTTTCTTCTTTACTACAAGGGATAACTTGACATGTGAGGGTTAATTAGGCAGGTCAAAGCTATTATTTCACTGTTCCGTTACTTTTAATTGTTAATTGTTTCATAACTAGACAGTCTACTGATTAGCTGATAACTCGCATAAGGTCATTAGCATAGTATAATTTACCTGATTAACTTATTCAATAGACAGTGTCGTTTGTGTTGATAACAGTTTGTTTATGCCTTAAGGCAATTATTCACATCTTTTGATGATCATGTATGCTTGGTCGAGTGTTACAACCCACACATATTCCTTTAACTAGCTTAAATATTACTTACTTAAATCGTCCGATGATTCATCCGCTTGCTCCTAAATATATATATATATAACTTAAATTATATTCCTTCATTCCCTCGCGAAAGCATTTTCATATTTGTTTCGTGTACCTGTGGTCTGTCCTATACAACCGTAAACTGCAGTCACTCCATTGTCTTCTGAAATTTATACACCATTGGGAGTTATCTAATATCGGTTATCAGAACGAGTGATAAACAAAGTACAACAATTACTTTGATGAAATCTGAGATATATTTAAAACAGCATAAACTACATATTAGGAGTTTGAATGGTTGGAACAAATCCTGAAATACTTTTTAAAACTGAAATTACTTTCCCTAGATATATCCACTATTGTGTCATAGTGAATTGTGACTACTAGTGAAAGTAAATAACCGATGAATTTCACAAAATATTAATCTTAAAACAGGGAATGGGAAAGAATAACAAGGAAAAAAGTTAGATCTCTGCCACCGTAAAAACATTGAGATTATGGTATTTTAACTAGTTCTAGAGTACTACAGAAGCGTATAAGTGACAAAAACCCCACCTGTAGCACTCCTACAGTTATTACCGGTCTCGAGCTTGGGTAAAGAAGGAGGGTTGGGCATGTAGTCGGCAACCCTATGCCATAGAAAATTTTCTTCTAAAAAACCGCAAACCAGATTAAACTAATTAAAGCATTTAAACTCTGACCACCGGGTTGAAGGAAGAATTATGACGCCTCAAGGTGAAAGCCGAGATTTTTCGGAAGTCACAAGGCCGATGCTCCTTCTAACAACAAAAGCAAAATTTTTTATAGTTACATAGAACGTCCGGAAAACGTGAGGACCAGTCAAAAAGCAACGGAAATGAGGAGATACAATTTGGCAGCACTGGAAATCAGCGAAACCCATTGGACAGCGAAGGCTAGATACAGGAGAGATGCCGCTGTACTCCGGTCACGAAGAGAAAAATGCTCCTCTCACTCACTCACTCACTCACTCACTCACTCACTCACTCACTCACTCACTCACTCACTCACTCACTCACTCACTCACTCACTCACTCACTCACTCACTCACTCACTCACTCACTCACTCACTCACTCACTCACTCACTCACTCACTCACTCACTCACTCACTCACTCACTCACTCACTCAGGGAGTTGCTCTAATGCTGTCCAAAGAAGCACGTAATGCATTTATAGGATGGGAATCTTACGGATCTAGGATCATCAAGACACCCTTCAGAACAAAGAAGAGAATCACGATGAATGTTATCCAATGTTATGCACCCACCAACAACGACAATAAAGATCATTTTTATGAGAGACTGCAATATATCCTAGCAAAGTGCCCAAGAGAGGATTTCACCATCTTGATGGGAGATCTTGAAGGATAATGGAAGACGTGAGGACCAGGAGGAGCTGGTATAGCTTTAAATCACTACCTGGTGGTTTTCAAGATGAAATTGAAGCTAGAGAAGCATTGGACAGCTGAGGAAACAGCAGTAAAAAGATTCAATACAGCGTTTCTACGAGATACTAACAAACTCAGCCAAATCAAGATAACTATCAACAACAGGTTACAGGCCTTAAAGGATTTACTGAAAGAAGAAACTACGATGGAGGACAACTGGAAAGGGATCAAAGAGGTATTAACTTCAACATGTCAGGAGGTGCTGGACCGCAACAAGCACCATCATAAGGGATGGATCACTACGAAGACACTGGACAAGATTCAAGAAAGGAAGAACAAGAAGACAGCTATCAACAACAGCCGAACAAGAGCAGAGGAAGTCAAGGCACAAGCTGAATACACTGAAGCAAACAAGAAAGTGAAGGTCATTAGAATCGACAAGCAGAATTACGTGGAAGAACTGGTAACGACGGCAGAAAAAGCTGCAAGAGAAGGAAACATGGAACAGCTTTATGATACAACGAAGAAACTAGTAGGGAGATATAGTAAACCAGAGAGACCGGTCAAGGACAAAGAAGGTAAGGCAATCACCGAGATTCCAGAATAAAGGAACAGATAGGTTTATAGCAGCTCACATACATTTGAGTTTATATGAATATTCGTCAATATTAGAACGAATTGTTAGACAAAAATTAGGCGCCGAGTATAGAGAAGCTATTATATGTGAAAGTTATATTTAAAATTACCTCAGAGATTGAAATTTGAATAATTCCAAAGTTTCGTTCAGCAAACTTGTCTGGGCTCCAAGGTAATAATCAAAAAGTTTGCTCACATTTAATTTAGTTAAGCCTTTTTATTAAACTATTTAAGAGACAGAGTCGTTCGTACAACAACAACTTTTGTATACCATAGAACTTTTATTATTGTTGTGCTTGTATGCTTGAGCATTGCTAACCGGCTACGCATATATTCATTCTGCTAGTTTCAATGTGAGTCGCTTAAATGATTTGATGACTCATTCGTTTTCCTATATATATATATATATATATATATATATATATATATATATCAGAACGAGCAGTATACGAAGTTTAAGAATTATATCTGATGACGGCGCCACAGATGGAATAATTCGAGGAACTCTTGAATAGACCTCCATTAAATACACCGGACATCGAAGCAACACCTACAGACCTTCCTATAGATATCACTCTACCAATGGCCGAAGAAATCACGATGACTATCAGACAAATCAAGAGCGGGAAAGCAACAGGACCTGACAACATACCAGCTGAAGCACTGAAGTCAGACATAGAAGTAGCTGCAAGTATGCTTCACCTTCTATTCAAGAAAATTTGGGAGGAAGAACAAGTGCCGATGGACTGGAAAGAAAGACACCTCATCAATATTCCAAAGAAAGGAGATCTGAGCAAGTGTGAAAACTACAGAGGGATTAACTACTGTCAGTACCAGGAAAAGCTTACAACAGTGTTGCTGAACCGGATGACAGACTCAGTAGACGTCCAAATTCGAGGTCGACAAGCTGGATTCCGTAAGGATCGGTCGTCCACAGACTAAATCGCGACACTACGGATCATCATCGGACAATCAGTTCAGTGTAATTCGTCATTATACATCAACTTCATTGACTATGAGAAGTCATTTGACAGTGTGGATAGGAGAACATTATGGGAACTTTTTCGACACTATGATGTGACTGGGAAGACCATTAATATGATACAGAATTCATACGACAGACTACAGTGCAAAGTTGTGCATAGAGGACAACTGGAAGATGCATTCCAAGTAATGACCTGAGTCAGACAAGGCTGTCTACTCTCGCCCTTCCTCTTTCTTCTGGTGGTCGACTGGATTGTGAAGACCTCGAAATCTGACAGGAAGCATGGAATACAATGGACATCTCGGAAACAACTGCACGATTTGGACTTTGCAGATCACCTAACTCTTACATTTCATACACAGAGACAAATGATGGCGAAGACAACTAATGTAGCAGCAGCCACTGCAGCAGTAGGCCTCGACATACACAAGGGAAAAACCAAGATGCTCAAATAAACATGGAGAACACCAACCAACCCAATCACAATTGATGAAGAAACTCTGGAAGAGTTGGACAGTTTTACGTACCTGTGAAGCATCATCGATGAACAAGCAGGATCTGATGCAGACGTAAATGTGAAGATTGGAAGAGCAAGGCCAGCAGTCCTACGATTGGAGAAAACATGGAACTCAAAACAACTGTCAACCAATATCAAAGTCTGAATCTTCAATACGAACATCATGACAGTCTTACTGTACGGGGCTGAAACTTAGAGTACTACAACCATCATCGAAATGATACAAGTATTCATAAACAGTTATCTAAGCACGATATTCAATATCCGCTGGCCGGATACCGTCAGCAGTCTGCTGTGGGAGAGAACAAACCAGCTCCCAGCTGAAGAGGAAAAAACGTTGGAAGCTGATAGGACGTACATGACAGAAATCAGCAAACTGCATCACGAGGAAAGCCCTAACTCGGAATCCTGAAGGGAACCGGAAAAGAGGAAGGTCAAAGAACACACTGCACCGAGAATCGAGGCAAACATGAAAAGGATGAATAGCAACTGGGAAGGATTGTTCAGCACAGGGTCAGATGTAGAGTGCTGGTGGGCAGCCTATGCGTAAAGTAAATATATCAATTAAAAAGATGATTCCAAACGAAGAGTGTGAACAGTTCTAACGAATACCACTAGGTACAGGCATTCCAAATACCAACCCATCGTAAAAACTGAAGTTATTTTTTTTCCCAGACGTTCACACCCTTCCCCACTTGTTAATTATTAGTCTCGATAGTAATGGTTTATTTAGGACGTTCAAGAGTGGTGGACAACTATAAGTTATGTGAGCATTAGGGCTGAATACACTACTTAGCTGTACGAATCATCCTGTGGCACGTGACTCAAGAATTGAAATCATGAAAATTAAGTGGTGAAACGATAACGTTACATTTTTTGATATCTGAAAGAAAACTTTTGATATTTGATTTAAAAACTGAATGCTAAAAACCACCGCATAACCACCATGAAGATAAGTAATATACTTTTTAACAACAAAACGAAAGTCCAGAAAACTGTTTATCCAGCATGTTCATCGGAAACACACTGAGTACGATAATATCTAAATATATTCCACCGAATTGAAACCATTTGGAAAAACATTAAAAACCAGAGGGAACTGGATGGCTCCTGTTAAACACAGATTAAACTGTTTTGAAAGGGCAAAAATATTATGAAAACTGTCGCTGAATTGTCTGATAACAGTTAAAGTAATTTATGATACATTTTAAGTTAAGATAGATGAATGATATCTAGGATTTTTGATTATTTTATTATATGCCAGTTCATGAAAAATAAATTTAAACCAATAAGAAAGTCCTCACAACTCTTATTATCACCAATACGAATATGAATTAAATTATGGAAAAAAACTTACCAGCTTTTACACGACCTCTAGATTTAGGTGGACGTCCACGACGTGGCATTTCCGTCTTTTTAACTTTCCAATCAGTAGAGGACTAGTAAAACAAACCAAATAAAGGAATCTTCATCAAGCCGTATTGTAAAGAGAACAAAACATTTAAGTTTCCAGTGAAACCAGTTTATTAGGGATTTCAAATAAAAATATCTGATTTAGTCATGTAACGAATAGCGAGAATAAATAATTATCCATAAGAAATGTTACAACTAATCTGAATAAGGGACAAATTATACAAAAGTATGCATTTTTCAAACGAAGATATCTGATTATTTTAGTTGGGGTTATCGCAAGGAACACAGACTGAGTTTGAGTAGATGACTTTTACCTATTCATGCTGGTTAAGATGTATATCATGGTGACAGTTGGACAGTCTTCGCTGGAATGCTGGTTCCCATAAATGTAAGGTCGATTAGAGGGTGGTAAAACGGAAAGCAAATACTGATACAATGTTAGTGAGTCGAGCGAAAACTGTCAGGTTATATTATGTAAAATTAAGGTTACAAAAGTAGTCTCTGAAGTACACAACTTCGAAGAGCAAGTAGAAGTTGCAAAATGTCCACCAATTGTTTCAAAATGCCTCAGACTTCATTGTTCTTACATCTTCATACAAATTGCATTCTATTCTCGCTCTTGCTTTCTTGATCTTCCCTCATCTTCTGCTGCCAGAAACTAAATTCCTGACTCGCAAAATATACTAATTATATCAATATAAGTAGCACGCACCACAGTGTCAGTGGTGATAGGAAAGATAAGAAATCGAAGATGCGATTCGAAAAGAACATATAAATGAGGGAAATATAAACAAAATAAAAACATTTACAAGGAAATTAGAACCTCCGAATTTAGGGAAGACAATAAATGAGTGCATTTGTGCTATTGCAAACGACTTTGAATCATGTCATTCAAAGTCTCTCACCTATAGTTACGATAATCACGCAGAACCCATTCTGGTAGTCCATACCTGGCTAAGTCCAACTGTCAGTGACTTCATGGACTGATGCCATGCTTTGATTCGACCGCCGTCAGCTTTCTCTTAGCCCACTCCTATACCAGAAAACATCGCCCGTCGAAGTAGCATTTATTATTTGTGCACACGAACAAATAATAATAGTCGTTTTTATTTAACTTCGAAGCTGCTACCTTGACGTGGTGGTAAAGCTTGCCTATCGTGATGACCCAACCAAGCTATATTGGTTGGAACATATGTTCCTGTAGGTTCTACCATGCCAGGCAGGTCGATTGGAGAACGGTAAGACTAAAAGCAGCAACTCAAGGTCTGAGGGCGAAGTCATACTGCTGACTATAGAGGAGTGTGACAGCGGTAAGATGTTTCCTTCAAAAAAACTAGCATCTACAGAAATGCTGCCTCCTCACAAGGAAGGAAGGGTAAGAAAATGTCGACCCTAAAAATGTCACACCTCACCTTACCTCACGGATTTCCGTCTCAGGCAGCAAGGCCCTTTGAAGAACGGAGCTAACACATCAAAAACCTTCCACGAAAAAACCGTGCGCGACCGGCCTCAAGCAGTTGTCCCTTGGGCTCTGCGGTCACGCTCCCAGGTCGTTAAGACCAACACTAATCCAATTTCCTTTTCAGGTTCCTCAAGAAATACCCTTCCACGGTGTGGGCAGCCGGGAAGTGACATCAGCCCTCATACCCGTAACAGTACACGAGACCAAGTTGGTCACATTCAAATCCTTCCTACACCTCCTAATACCTCTCTTATCTCCATGACTAACCCTCCTCACGTCTCTTTATCACCTCGCACCGCTAGGGCAAACGATTCGAGTACACGGAACGTTATTCCTGGTCTCCTGAAACCACACTCTAAACTACACGTAGGAGCTTTTAACGTCCGAACACTGTGCCAAATAGGACAGCAGGCTTCCTTAGCTAGGACTTTAGAATCTCGCGCCATCGATGTGTGCTGCGTCTCCGAAACGCGCATACAGGAGTAGCGTCATTCATTTGACCTCACCATGCCAAAATAAAGAACCGACTCGATTCACGCTTCGTGTATCTGGAAGCCCTGATTCTGCTTCCCGTGGCCTCGCCGGCGTAGGTATAGCATTGAGTCCTAGGGCAGAACTAGCTCTCTTAGAGTGGATCCCAGTAGACAGTCGTTTGTGCGCTGTCCGACTGAACGGAACAGTAAGAATCCGAAAAGATAGGGACACTCGTCGTTGCCTCTTCGTCGTCTCTGCCTATTCTCCCACTGACTGCAGCTCAGATGATGTAAAAGATGAGTTTTACAGAAAGCTTTCCGACCTTCTCCGAAAAGCTAGGCGCTCGGATGTAGTAATAGTGGCCGGTGACTTTAATGCTCAAGTAGGTAAACTAAGCGAAAGGGAAAGACACCTAGGTGGATCTTATGGTGTCGTGGCTCAAAGAACAGATAATGGCGACCGTCTGTTGCAGCTATGCTCAGATAACCGCCTGTTCCTTGCAAATACTAACTTTAAGCATAAGGAAAAACATCTTTTAACATGGCGACCCCCTAATTCGTCCCAACGTTGGACCCAAATAGATCACATCGCTATCAGCCACCGATGGAGGGGCTCGATAGAAGACTGTCGCTCATTCTGGAGCACATGCCTAGATTCAGATCATGCTCTAGTGCGAGCGCGTATTTGCTTGCGTCTTACTGGACGTAGGAAAGACGCTGCAAGGAAACCTCTTAGGGCCTACTTAATGATAGTCAAGCTAAGAGTATATTTCAGGAACAACTAGGAAAACAGTTAGGCAGCCATGTATGTGATGCCCACCCCGATGCAGCATGGAATGATATCCGAAAAGCTGTGGAAACAGCAGTGATATCTGCTAGTAAGGTAAACCAGAAGGTTAGGGAGCAACACTGGATCTCAGCAGCATCTATCGCACTGATAGATGCTCGGAAACTCATTCCACCTGGCTCTGAACATAATGAAGAGCGGAGTCAGCTTAAGCGCAAGCTGACAAGAAGTCTACGCAATGATCGCGAACAGTGGTGGGTAGCGAAAGCAAGAGAGATGGAAAAGGCAGCGGCAATAGGTAATAGCAGACAATTGTTCAGACTCGTTAAGGAAACCGACTGTTAGCGAAACAATCTCAGAGAAAGATGGACATATTATTCATTCTCAATCCAGGAGATTGGATCGATGGGCAGAACACTTTAGGGATCAGTTCAACTGGCCTTCAGCCACACTTCGGTTTCCCACGATCTCCAGTCAACCTGAATGGCAAGTTAATGTAGGTCCTCCGTCTCTTTACGAAGTTGAAAAAGCCATAGGAAATCTGAAACGAGGGAGAGCAGCAGGCCCTGACAGGTTTACTCCTGAGATTTTTAAGGATGGTGGTCCAGTATTAGCAATGAGATTAACTGAGGTCTTAGGTAGAATTTGGGAACTGGACGTAATCCCATCTGACTGGTCTCAATCACTGATTGTGCCAGTCTATAAGAAAGGACAAAAGTCCTCTTGTGACAATCACAGAGGAATCAGTTTGACTAATATAGTGTCTAAAATATTAGCTTCAATAATACTTCGACGCCTAACAAAGCTCGTGAAGAGCAGACTAGAGAAAACCAGGCTGGTTTTCGACCTGGACGTGGTTGTATAGATCAGATATTCACACTACGTCAGGTTCTAGAACACAGACACACATTCAGACGCCCCACAATGGTAGTATTTCTCGACCTTAAGGCGGCATTCGACTCTGTTGATCGTGAGGTTCTATGGCAGTGTTTGTCACTGAAAGGAGTACCAAAGAAGTACATTAACCTTATAAAGGCTCTCTACTCGAACACAACTGGTCGAGTGAGAGCTTATGGCGAACTGTCATCAGAATTGATTACCTCAAGTGGTGTTCGTCAGGGCTGTCCACTCTCCCCATTCTTGTTCAACTTTGTCGTCGACGTACTTTTAGAGATAACACTCTCCTCATCTAAATTTCCAGGGGTTGAACTTCTACCAGGAGGTTCACTTGTTGACTTAGAATATGCTGATGACATAGTTTTATTTGGTGAAGACGCTGACAAAATGCAGAGTCTTCTGACCACTCTAAGCAACAATGCAAGCATGTTCGGGATGCGATTCTCCCCCTCGAAATGCAAAATGTTGCTTCAGGATTGGGTTACATCGACACCCGAACTAGTGATAGGGAGTGAAGTAGTTGAGTGTGTCGACCGCTTCACTTATCTTGGAAGTCTCATCAGCCCTTGTGGTCTGGTGTGTGACGAAATCTCAGCACGGATACAGAAGGCTCGACTAGCTTTTGCCAACTTGCGTCATTTATGGCGTAGGCGAGATATCCGTCTATCAACCAAAGGACGTGTTTACTGCGCAGCAGTTCGTTCTGTCTATCAATAAAAGGACGAGTATACTGCGTAGCAGTTCGTTCTCTTTTACTTTATGGCAGTAAAACATGGCCGGTAAGAGTAGAGGATATTCGTAGGTTACTAGTATTCGATCATAGGTGTCTTCGAAACATTGCTCATATATCATGGGACCATCGAGTAAGTAACACAGTTGTTAGGAAACGGGTACTAGGTAAGGATGGCAAATCAATTGATGAAGTAGTGAAACTTCATCAGTTGAGATGGCTGGGACACGTGTTACGTATGCCCAACGACCGACTACCTCGATGTGCTATGTTCAATGGTATAGGAGTAGGTTGGAAGAAAGCTAGGGGCGGCTAGACCAAAACATGGCACAAGTCCATGAAGTCACTGACAAGTGAACTGAGTCATGTTGGTAGGTGTAGACTACATGGTTGGGGACCGAGAGATGATAGCAACCGATGGTTAGAGACCCTAAATGACATGGCTCAAAATCGTTTGCAATGGCACAGGTACATCCACTCTTTGTGTTCTCCCAAATTCTAATCTTCTGAATTCTTCATGTCCTTTATTTTCTTTCTAGATTTATTCCACTGGATTATACTCCTTGAATAACATCTTCAATCCCTAATTTTTCTGATTACAGCTTATAATTTTACTACACCTAGCACTACGGGATCTGAATCGACCACTGCATCTCTGTGCTAATGTGGTGTGACGACTCGAACTGATGTACGTACGTACGAAGTTCTACGTTGTTACTGACTAACTGCATTTTGAAATGATAGACGTCAATACTACCATGTCATCGCTGGAGAGAATTGGCGGAAGGGTCGTGACACTTCCGACAGTGTTAGCTTCTATTCAAATCAAGCACATTCTCATGAGTCAGTGTCTGAGCCAAAACGAACTGGAACTGGGTATAACTGAGAAGTTAGGTTTGAAATGGTGGGCATCAAATGTGTTCAATTGCGATTAAGATACATACCTAATGAATTGAGAAAATATGGTTTGGTTTTTTGAGTTTTGACGTACGATAGAAACACACGTGAAGACTGTTGGTGACTTTTAACTAGAAGGTTTTAAGAGCTGGTAGGTCTTTGAAACCCCATTCGAACTAATTGATATATGAAGTTATTATGACTAGTTTTATGCATGATCAAAAGTAAAAGCAATGGTGGGTAGCAAAGGGATAATACGCAGTAACTTAGGATTAGTTAAGTCACATCAAAGATGTGGTATTAGTTCATTAATACACTAACTGTTGATCTGTGTGAACAAACGATGACGTTGTGGATGAGATCAATATAAAGACTATATGGCTTACAATATAACAGATATTTTCGATTGCACAAAAATTAGGATTAACAGTCAGGTCTTGATTGATCGGAAAATGAGTGACCTACAAGCTGATTTTTTACACAATTACCTACGGTATTTTATCACATTTACTTCGCTATTTATATTTTGTATTTATTACATATGAAAACTACTTATCTGGCTAGCAGTCTTGTCTTTGGTTTCTAAACACACAAGGGCCTAAGTCAATAACACGGTCTCGTAAGTATCTATCCTTCGGACACATTGCATCATTGAGTACATTTATCGATCAGCATTCTATTCATTAAGTTTAACAAATGGGGATATTGTCTTATCAAACCACCATAAAGTCTTCTCTCTCTAACAGACCTTATCTTTAGAGTCCTGATTATTAAATAGCTATTTATTTATTTCCTCGTGTAAACGTATTCCATTTGTTTTGATATTATTTCTAGTTGTCCTCTTTTTATGCTGCTTTGCAGTATAACAAAGCGTATCTATGCGCTTTTTTGTGGGGCTTTACGTTGATATGTTTATTATTTTGCTGAATGGGAGTTAGAAACTAATGACATTAATGGAATGCATATATCAGATTAATACGTGCACTGAAATCCTACAAATTTTTATCTTACTATTACAGATAAAACTACATTTCGCTTATAATAAGTAAGGATATTCTGACCATAATGTTTATTCATTTGGATAGCCTGTATAAAATAAGTATGATGACGAACACGGTGGCAAATAAGCCTACAAATTTTTAAGTAACCTATATACATCGATAGCATTAGAGATTTAGTAAAATGAGATGCTTAGCACTGAAATTCTACAATTTGTCAATTACTACCTTGTGTACTTTCTTTCCGAAGCTGTAAGTAAATAGAGAATGCCCAAAATATAACTAAAACACTTAACAGAGAATTTAATCGAATCTATTTTACTAAAAGTAAATCATTACCTTACTATCAAGAAGAAAACCATTATTTCTTAAATATTTAGACATTTTTTATCTCTCAAAATACGAACGCGAATTCCCGTTAATACACATTGTTATGAATACCATTAGTTATATTCAACAGAAAGTCTGTATAATGCTAATTGACTCATGACATAATTTGGTAGGCCTTAAATATCAAATAATATCAGAACAACAAGTAACTTAGTTGAGTGGTTAGACTCCTGGAGAATGCATATGTATCGACTAATTAAAATCACATTAGGCAAATCATAAAAACAACATAATAAGAGAAAGTACTCACATTAGAACACCAGTTGTTTTGAGAACTATTATTTGCGGTGCGAGGAACATCTACTCCTGACAAGGAACCTGATGAAACAGATGAAGATGGGCTATCTGAAGAATGGGATGATGAGGACGAACTTCGGTATTTACGCCGCCCAATAGGTCTTCCCTTGCTATCTCGAAGAGGGGGTCTCCTCGACCCGTTGACCACGTATCGGAACGTTTGAATGATTTTCTTTTGATTGTTTTCGATAAGGTTTATCATGCTCACGATGAGTTAAAGATAAGAGGTCAGCAGTAAATGATCCAGCGGGCCTACGACCAGACCCAACTGCAGCTGCCATAGCTGCTTTTGTCTCTGCTAAGGCGGATATAGCTGCAGCTCCTGGAGTACCGGGTTGAACAACCGGCATTGGAAGACGATTACTTGCCAATCTTTTGTCAGTAAGATCGGTGTGTGAATTAAGCAAGAGACCATGGGTTCTGAAGTGCTTGCCACCATGAGTACATGGTGAGACATCACGAGTGGGTGAGCCACCAGTAGGAGTATCACTAGCAGTCGTTTGATGACTGCTTGAAGAAGTGTGACGCCTGTATAAAAAATAAAAAAAAAGACAATTAAGACTGAGAAATTTTTCATCTTCCAAACTAAACGTAAAAATGTTGGGAAATCGAAATGTGAAAAGCACAGGACCTCCTAATAGTTTAATAATTTCTAGTAAAATCAAGAATAAATTTTAAAATATATACCTAAATACCAATAAATATTAACACTACGTGGTGAGCAGTTCAAAGTCAGAAGTTAACATGGGATCATCAAATCACACGTTACAACACAACCCAGTCTGATTTGTTTAGACAGCTCGGTAGTATTACTACCATGGGCAAAAAATGAAGCACAATTGTACTTAATAAGGGCGATAAGGGCATGCATAATTTTAAGCTGTCGATTGTCCCCACTTGTGTTCTCGTTCACTAAAGTAGTATTGATCGAATGACGCGGTCAATCAAACATAACTAGCTAAGCTAACACAGAAGACAACGAAGAAAATTATGTCCAAAATACCTGAGAAAAGTCAATATAATATGACGAATGAACACATAATACAGTGGCACCAGCTACATAAAAGAACCACTTAGTGTCGTGTAAAAGATATATATAGAACGTGAGAAAATATAGTTTGATTACCTCCTTTTATTAGCCTTGGTATTACCAGAAGTAAGAGACGATCTAGGACTATCTGCACGATGTGAACGTTGGCTCTGGATGAGGGTTTTACGCCGCGGACCAAGATACATTTCGTCAGAGTAATCATCATCAGATGGGGGAAGATCGCTTTCACCAGAAGAATGTGTGTAATATCCACTATCGATGTTAGCTTGTAATTTACTGACTTCATTCCAAGCTCGTTCAAATCCTCCACCTGAGATCGCACCTGTCGCGTTTGAACGTCGAAGTACACCAACTTCATCAGCTGGGAGGTGAAAAGCACGAGTATGGGCTTTCTTTACGAACATCCGCTCATGGGAGCCTCCAAAGAAGCGTATCTAGGACGCATATTAAAAAAGAAAAGGATAAAATCTATAAAATTAAATCCGAAATTTGCTTTACTTATTCGAAGAATTTGGAACTAAGTGAATAAACTCAACTTAAAGAGTCGCAAAACTAAAGACAACTTTGAGACTCGCTACTGAACATTTGTAAAGTAAATGATTAGAGGAAACAATTTTGTGTATCCACAGATAAAATGACTCTACTGAAAATAACAAAGTATGCATCAATAAATTCAGATTGTCTGAGCTATGGAGCTTTTACTTGGTACCGAAACACCACTATATATATTTGTTTGTTGAGTAGGTATATTTCGAAATTAAACTTCCTGAAACAGATAAAGGTCGATTTATTTCATAAAAACTTCGAATACATGTGTTAGGTCGAGCCACGTGTATTATATAGTAGGTAAATAAACTAGTCAGACAGCTGCACAGAATAAGAATCCAACCCTAACCATATTCTAATGAAACGTAGCGTGAGTTCAATTATTGGTCGTTTGTAATTGATAAGCCCTGTTCCCCTAGACTATCAATCTTGATTACGTATTCGCTAGAAAACGTTCATGATAATAAAACAGGCAACTTACCTCATATCCGTCATCGCGTTCCAACAAAACTTTTGCAGGCCAATAGAATTGAGAGACTGAAGTATCGTTAAACAGGCCAGCCCCTGCTGATGTGCGATTGCGTGCCCATATCAGTTCATGACGTGGTTTGCAGGGTTTACTAATCCAGTCTGTAACACGAGCCTTAGCATTGATATAACAGTCAGTACACAATTGGATTTCATTTAATTCTGTATTAACAGATCGAAAGAAAAATCGTATCTCATCGGCCTGATTACTATAAGGGCCATGAAGAATGCAGACATCATGAACAAGCAATTGCACATCCATAGAAAATTCCTCTAAAGCAGCATACCGACCATCTTTTATCTTGCGTTGCAATAGCTCTAGATCAGTGTACTTATACACAAGGTACTCATTTTTTGTTATTTCACCTTTATAACCAACTTGAATAAATGTTTTCCACAATGGCTGCTTCCTCAATTGATGGGTTGCAAATTCCAATAGCTTCCTTATCTGCTTGCGGGAGAATTCACATTTCGGTCGAGATTCGCATACAGGACAAGTAAAATTATCTTCCTGCCCATCATGAAGAGTTGGTGAACGCATAGACTTTCTTGATGGACTATTAGGACCAGATGCTTCTTGAACACAATCAGAATGATATACACGGAAACAATCGAGACAGCGTAAAACTTCACCAGGTCTATGGCACTGGAAGCAATACCAATCATGTTTGCCTCTAGGATGCTGTTTTGAAAAGTCAGGAAGCTGGTAACGAACCATACCATTTTTACCGAACGGAGGCTCTATTTTTTCAATTAATCCATCACCTTCAATTTCATCAAGGAGTAACCTTATTTGATCATCTTTTAGATCCAATGTTTTGCGAAGAATTTTGCTAATTTTGTCTGCTGGTACTGCTAGTCGGTGGGATTTAAGTACACCAAAAGCATCCCAAACTTGACGTACTTTTAAAGGATCGGCGTGTCGATAGCTACTAAGTTTGGCGTAATCCATACTTGAGATCAATTCATACTCTAAAACAAAATGGAAACACATGAAGTCCCAGAAACATATCCTATATGCCGTTAAACCACTACAGAGGGTAAGTTATAGGCATAAGTTACCTTTCATAAAACGAAGGATATAGTATAAGTGTGATTCGGTTCAATGAGTTACACCAACAATGAGGTGAATTCCATGAAGAGAGTAGCAAGAGTCGAAATAGGTGTCAGTGATAGCAAGATTGATAATATGGTTCCAGGAATAAAATAATGGCATAATAAGTATAAGTTAGTAGTGAAACGCAAGATCTAGGGGAAGAGTTTGGTCACTGGTAAATATTTTTCAGCCTACTCATACACTAGGCAGAAATGGCCGTCGAAATAGACGGTTATTGAGGCTGACGAACACTCACAGCCATACCAAACAGTTTTCCATATTTCGGCAGACTAGGCACTCGACTTTTGGCCTAAATTAAGCAATGTCAATTAGGTGTTTCGCCATGTGCAAGCAATTTCATGATGATACGGCCAAATATTAGTCCGCAAAATCCCTCCTACTTTTAAGGACTACATTAAAGACATGACAGTCAGATGTAAGTTATAAGATTACCAACAAGACTGGATCTAATTAGATTTAAAGCCATTAACAATGAGCAATTAATAAAACGAATCTAATAATTGGTAAGTGGAAAAGTCTGATGCACCATCAATAAAGAAATCATAAGTTTCTGTTTTTCAGAAATGGTTAAGATGTAGAGTTGCAAAACAGGCGTAACATGATTATCATTAATCACACCATATTTAGCAAACTGGTTTTTGATAAAATCATGAATGTAGCAGTCACATTTTCACCCTTCACTGAATGTTAGAACACCACAATTATTGCAAGCCAACAATGGTGGTTTCTCGACATCAGAATCAACTTCGATTAGTTGGATAGAACTGTGCTCTGGGATTGTCCGTTAAAGGGTGTTTACGAAGTTTGCTAACATCTTAAAGATTCTGTACACCAACACCTCGGGTAGAGTAAGAACTCAAAACATTTCCCTGTTTCGTTCTGGAAGCGCGGTTAGACAAATTGTTTAATCAAACCACAACTCGAATTCGCCGTCGACATTTTGGAAAGCCAGATGAGAATATGCCGATATCAGCCCACTTTGGCACTTGCGTGATAATTTGAATGTAAAGGGTTGGACCTAAAATGTGTCGATGAGAACAGTTTTGTTTCATGCTTGTGAGATATGACCTCTTTGAGTTGAAGTGTTCGACAACTCGGTGTTTGATCGTCGTTTTCTCTAAAGAGTCGTGAACATTCAGCGACAACTGACAATGAGGAGGTTCGGCCATGTGTTCGTGCGACAATAATAGATCAGTTAGTGTCATTACACTGGGACACGCTGTCGTGATTAGAACACGTTACGAACGTCACCGAAGTGGCTTCTACACTTAGCACTACACGACAAGGACAGGTGGAGTGGTCAGTTTACAATAAGCCATCATGGTCGACGTCATCAATCCAGTTACATAAGCAATTCAACATGTGGACATGCTGCATCGTTGTACACCATGTATCGCTCGGGATTATATTAATTAATTAATTAGGAATCGATTATGTCTACTAAACATTAAAACCCCAACAAAAAAATGTTATGGTGTTTTAATATTCAAGACTTAGTACATCTATTTATATTGATATGGAGAATCGAGCGACGTCAATAATTTCCATAGACAAAAGTGTGACTTACAATCGCTAATGGAATATGTTCTCGATGAGTTACACAAAACTTTATGCTGGTTAGGATTACATCATGTGGTGCAGATATCCCGGTTGGTGTTAAGTAACAACTAAGGGACAGTTGCAGTGAAGCAGACAGTTTGTTTTAACCACTCAGATGATCTTGGGTGCGATATGATTTTGAGATCCTAACCTCATAACTACTATCAGCTCTTTAAGGCTAGTCATCTCCGAGGTCATTACGAAAATGTTTCAAAACCATGACCAAAGGGTGAAATCTTATTGTCAACAGGCAGGGCAATACACCCAAAGCGATACTATCCCTGTGAGTAAACACTTTCAAATACTTGGTCAGCTGATTTCCTGTGCTTGCCAGTAAAGACTGATACACGCTCGACACTGACTGAACACCAAAGTAACATCTGAAGTCAGTAAAACCAGACTTCATTGGATAATACCAAACATGTCATACTAAAGGTAGTAGTGTTTCATTCAAAAACGTACTGTCTAGACTATTCAAGTCAATAAAACACGAAATTAGATATAAATAAACATATGGATCGATGATAAAACTTGGTATCACAAAGAGAAAATGCGAAAACTAAGCTTGGTCTAACATGGACTACATGCTGTCAGACGGTTTAGAGATTTTAATTTATTTTTTTTTTGAATAAAACAGAAAATGAGATATACAGCCAACTTACATAAACGCAGGAGCTGCCATTGAAAGACAGTAGACTTAAACAAAGAACATGAAGTTTGTAAAATAAATAACGGACTGTGATTAAATTTATAAATTTTGCGTTTTTTACGAAATATTTTTCGAAAATTCATAATGTAGGAATACAGTAGCGCTTATTACAAACAAGTTGACCCATTTGAACATTCAGGAAGGTGTTGTAAGTAGTTGCTATTAATTTCGTACTAATTTTAGTCTCTTCAGTTTACTATTGAAACCATACTTGCTCATCAGGCTGTAAAACTTAAATATTTTGTTTTCTTAAAGTGCTTCTTATGTATAAAAAAAATCCTGTTTGATGTGACTACCAAACCGTTCCGCTCTGTCCATAGTAGTTCAAAGGGTTGTGGACGTAAAAGAAGAAGCTTTCGCTTAACAGGCTTCCGTGTGTAGTAGCAGGGGATCACCAAATCCTCCAGGAAGGAACCTAAGTATGTGGAAAATATAAGAGGAAAAAGAAATTTGAAAATGGTTGTATGATGCTGTCCTTGGTCCTTAAGAATAGGTAAAGTTGAACCTTGAAGAACTCCTCGGAGATCGCTTAGACTAGCTCGGCCAGCAGCGAGTTCCAGCATAGTGCTCTGAAACGACGCGCTTTCTGAAAGGGAAGTTTAGTCCCAACGTGATTTGCATTTATCAAACATTTGCTGTGTTCTTACGTAACAAAAGTACCATTTCCGTTCTAAAGAATCTATCCTGAGCTATACGTTCGGTAGATTACTTTTTTTGAGTTTCACCATATATAATAGTTAACTGTGGTTTTGCCTCAGATTACTATTGGGTGTTTTTTAGTTTTTCACGTTAAGACTAATTCAGTTTATCTCACTCGTTTTTATCCATTTTCAACCGTTTTCAGAGTGCCTATTAGTGTATTTTTACGGTCTTAGGCTTTTGCAAGCATCTATAACATAGTTTGCTTCAACATAGTCATAAAAAACTCAGGCAAACGTCCGGGATGCCGTTTTGCTGTTACAACTGGGATGCAGTGCGACAACTGCAAAGGTTGGCTCCACGAAGCGTGCACAGATCTGACGGCAACTGCTTACAATAGACTCAGCAAGTCGGACCAAAAGTGGGTATGTTTCACGTGCAGCACGGACGCTGTAGTCTTGCTGAGTAACATCATCGTCCTACTGACAGGTCTGAGGAACAAGTTGTCAGCAAACTTGGATAACGACAGTAAAAAAACGGGTAAACAAACAAGAGCGCGCAATGAACACAAGATTAGGGATGTTGACATGTATACCATCGATGGAGCATCGATTAGCACTAGTGATGACGTGTTGAAGCTCAGCACCATCATTACGTCGACGGTATTAGACTCCCTAAGTAAACTCGGGTCTCCCAGCTCAGGGTCCCTGAACACAACAGTGGTTCTCAAAAACCCTGTAGGTGATTCGACCCACGTTAGCAGAGCCCAAAAGAATCAGGTGTCACCGCCTAAGCTGAGCATCCCAAGTGTTGTTGTACGGAAAACAACTGGTGATTTGGTCGCACAGTCTACTCCCAAGAATGTTCATCCGGTCATCAAAGAGCCCAAGACTCAAAAACGTGCCTTGACCTCCAAACAACAAGGTATTAAAACTGAACCAATCGGGAAACCTGGTAAATCAACAACAGTTCGTGACGATTCTCTCATAATCATGAACCTCATTGACAATCCTGACATTCCTCTCAGTCTGCAGGACAAAAATGACAGGATGCTCTGGGGTGAATTGAACAAGAAGCTCGAACTTCCTAGGATAGAGCCTTTGGCGGTCACCCGAGGTTCCTTCGAGTAACACTTAAGAATGCTACCGACGTAGAGGACGTCTTGCTAGCCAGTCACTCGCTGAAATCCGATGGGAACGTAAGAATATTGCCCGACATACCGTACTCTGAGCGCAATATCATACAGGACACCCCTAAAGAATCTCGCGAGTTTTTCCGCGGAAGAAACATAACTGTGCAAGGTATACCGGAAAATACGGACCCTACTCAATCAAACTCTGACATCAGAGAATGGAAATTCATCAAACAGTCCTTGAGACTCAAACTCATACTGACTCAGCATATGACGAGACTAGCCAAGAAGGATGGTGATCCTAGACCCCGTCTAATGAAGATAACCTTCCCATCCTCCCACATGGCGGCTGCAACTGTGGAAGTATTTCGTGCAAACAGACGTCGATTGCCACCTGGAATCCACATGCACCCGGATAGGCCATATGAAGCTAGGACCAAACACAAAGGCAATATGATAAGATATAAACGCGTTTATATCTTATCAATAAGCTCAAGCGACTAGGTATTAGACCACTTCTAATCGATTGACTTTCTTGATACCTGAAAAATCGATACTTTAAGGTTAGGCTTGATTTCATTTTATCTCAGGCTATGGAATGTCTTAGTGGGGTCCCCCAGGGCTTAGTACTAGGACCACTTCTCTTATTGATCTACATAAATGATCTTCAACACGTAACCTTATCAAAAGCTAGTCTTAAGTGCTGCAATTTCCGGAACAACAAGCCAGCGCTTAGGTTCACTTCGGAAAGTCCTATGGAATGGCAGATGAAACTGTCATCAGTAAAGTTGATGTCGATCGGTTGAAATGTTTGAGAGTAATGTTCAGCCAGAAGGTTAGCGGCGTCGCCATCGTTGTTGGTCGGGCCGTTAAGACCTAGCAGTTGGGAAACTCCAGTCTTGGCTTGACGAAGAGAGGCTGCATAACGGAATAAGCTTTTAGGGTTAGAGGCAAATTTAGTCATAAGCTTTGTCTGGTACTGAAGCCGGTCTTCTCTTATAGCCTTCGTGCATATGTTCCTTATATGTTTATATTGCCTGTACGCTCCGTCGTTGTCAGTTCGTTTGTATTCCGCCCAACAGTGCCTTTTGCGGCTTAGCAGGCGAAGGGTACAGTTGTTGATTATTGTAGGTGGCTTGCAGCTTTTGGGAACCGTTTGAAGAACTGAATGGTTTGTAGCACATAAGAGTGTGTGCAGTAAGAAGTCCCAATGACCGTCTACATCGAGTTGAGGGTGAACATCTCAATCCACCTGTTGTAGGTAGTCGTGTAGAGCTGGCACATTCAACCGTTTAAAATTCCAACGCAAGTTATGGGTGGGATACCTTAGCTTAGTTTTGCTGACAAAACTGAAGGCTATGACGGCATGATCGCTTTTTCCCAGGGGAGCCAGGATTGAGAGGTTTTCAACTAGGGATTCTTCGTTAGTGAATACACAGTCTAAGCGCGATGGTGTCTGACTGTTTCTCCAACGAGTTGCCGACCTCACATTTTCGTATAATCCCAAGTCATCGATGAGGTTGAAGAACCGAGCTTCAATTGAGTTATCGCCTTCAGTATACGTGTGATCCGCGAAGTTGACTCTAGGGAGATTAAAATTCCCTAGAATCAGGATGTGTGTAAAACTGAGACGAGTAGAGCGGGATAGCCCTTCCAGCATACGACTATCGTACTCGATGTCAGCAGTTGGCTTCCTGTAAATGACTCCGACTAGACACCTCGAAGTACTAGACAATCTTACAGAGCACCATATGGATTCCTCAAGATTGTTAAACTCGAGGTTATGAACTTGGTGCACCTCCAAGCAAGAACGTATGTATACGGCTACTCCGCCCCCAATTCCTAATTTTCTGTCGTTGCGGAACAAAGACATCCCAGGTAATGCTAACTCTTGGTCCGAGAACTGAGAAGATATCCAGGTTTCAGATATTCCTATCAGATGGGCCTTATTAGCGTCGCTAAGTTCACGTAATTCATCCAATTTGTTTGGTAGACTCGCGGCGTTCATATATAAGCAGTTTATGCTTTCAATTTGGAACGCGTGAGCTTCGTCCTGTTTGTCTGTATGAGCCTTACGTGAATGGACAGGTAGCCCACCTATATGAGGTTTGCCGAGGTGGTAGGCCCTGTCCTTTACACGTTTTTTTATCATCTAGACAGTCCACAAGTGGAATGATCAGCTCCATATTGCCTTTGTGTTTGGTCCTAGCTTCATATGGCCTATCCGGGTGCATGTGGATTCCAGGTGGCAATCGACGTCTGTTTGCACGAAATACTTCCACAGTTGCAGCCGCCATGTGGGAGGATGGGAAGGTTATCTTCATTAGACGGGGTCTAGGATCACCATCCTTCTTGGCTAGTCTCGTCATATGCTGAGTCAGTATGAGTTTGAGTCTCAAGGACTGTTTGATGAATTTCCATTCTCTGATGTCAGAGTTTGATTGAGTAGGGTCCGTATTTTCCGGTATACCTTGCACAGTTATGTTTCTTCCGCGGAAAAACTCGCGAGATTCTTTAGGGGTGTCCTGTATGATATTGCGCTCAGAGTACGGTATGTCGGGCAATATTCTTACGTTCCCATCGGATTTCAGCGAGTGACTGGCTAGCAAGACGTCCTCTACGTCGGTAGCATTCTTAAGTGTTACTCGAAGGAACCTCGGGTGACCGCCAAAGGCTCTATCCTAGGAAGTTCGAGCTTCTTGTTCAATTCACCCCAGAGCATCCTGTCATTTTTGTCCTGCAGACTGAGAGGAATGTCAGGATTGTCAATGAGGTTCATGATTATGAGAGAATCGTCACGAACTGTTGTTGATTTACCAGGTTTCCCGATTGGTTCAGTTTTAATACCTTGTTGTTTGGAGGTCAAGGCACGTTTTTGAGTCTTGGGCTCTTTGATGACCGGATGAACATTCTTGGGAGTAGACTGTGCGACCAAATCACCAGTTGTTTTCCGTACAACAACACTTGGGATGCTCAGCTTAGGCGGTGACACCTGATTCTTTTGGGCTCTGCTAACGTGGGTCGAATCACCTACAGGGTTTTTGAGAACCACTGTTGTGTTCAGGGACCCTGAGCTGGGAGACCCGAGTTTACTTAGGGAGTCTAATACCGTCGACGTAATGATGGTGCTGAGCTTCAACACGTCATCACTAGTGCTAATCGATGCTCCATCGATGGTATACATGTCAACATCCCTAATCTTGTGTTCATTGCGCGCTCTTGTTTGTTTACCCGTTTTTTTACTGTCGTTATCCAAGTTTGCTGACAACTTGTTCCTCAGACCTGTCAGTAGGACGATGATGTTACTCAGCAAGACTACAGCGTCCGTGCTGCACGTGAAACATACCCACTTTTGGTCCGACTTGCTGAGTCTATTG